ATCTACAAACTGGCCTCTTTTTCAGTTACACGTGTTTATACTGTGCTGGACAGTAAACGTTGTTCATTACTACAGATCACTGCACGTAATCCATGATGGAAACAGCTCTCAGCGTGTACTACTCCACCAAGTTCCCCACAACCCCTCTGACCAGCGGTTAGAGAGAGCCCGTCTTGCATTGAGAGGGAAAGCTGAAGGAGCTGACGACAGAGAGATGGAGGTCAAGGGTCAAGGACTCAGCAGGTAGACCCCCTCCCCCAAACACACATCTCACTCCTTCAAGAAGGGAGAAAAAGACAAAGCAGGAGCCACAGGTTGAAACAGGGAGTCACAAAAATAGTTAGATGGCTCAGGAGACGTCAGTGTGTCCATACACACAGTTCAGCACATCCAAATATACATATCAGTATGTGTTTACTGCCAACTTATTATTGTGTGAACAGAGACTAATATTAGAGTAACATCAAAAACAGTGTCCATGGTTATTCATTTCAAAGATGGTAATGTCTGTTCATTGGTCTTTATACATGCACTGTTCACTACAGGTGCTGTGCTGATGGAGTGTTATCTGCCCACACAGACATTTTTGTTGTCTCTGTCTCCTCCGTCTCTATAAGCAGCTGGACATGGGGTCGAAATGGAGATTTTTGCTGTTCATGTGAAACAGTTGGAGCCTTGTATGAATTGAATGTTGATGTTGACATTTCTTGATGGTTCCATGCTCTCTACACTCTGCTTCAGGCCCACCAGGCTAAAACTGCAGCTCTGCAGTAAATCCATTAAGAGACTGTCTTTCCAAAACAACGACAGCAGGTTGAAGAGAGATTCATTTTGACACACAAGACTGTGGTCAAAGACATGACTGGTTATTACCATGGCCATGATCATTACTTAACCCTGGCTGAGTCTGACTCAGAGCAGTGACAGATCAGACAATGTGTCTATGAATCATTTTTGTAATTGATTGATTAGGAACAGTTTGGGAAGGCACTGATAAACGATCATATGATCAGACCAGGACACACACACGAGCAATTATGGAAGGTGCAGTTACAAAGGACTCATGTTATAATATGTTATGTTGGATGACGTGTTGTTCATGAAAGTTCTGATGATTTATTTTTTTAGTTTTTAAGTGTTGATCTTTAAGATAATTTTGCTGCTACTGAGAGAAGTTTCTAATATTTTGTCCATTTTAAATACATGAGTAAATATGGAAGAGGAATAGATACATGACAAAAATTTAATTGGAAAAAAAAAAAAGAATTCTGACTTAAATCTGAGAGAAAAAAAAATCAGAATTGAGTTTGAAGTCTGATTTATGAGGGGTTTTTAAAAAATCTGTGAAATAAATTACAATTATGAATTTAAAGTCAGAATTCCGCGATTAAAGTCAGATTTTTATTTACTTTAAAGAAATACATTTTTCACATGTAGCCCTATTCTGCTGTAAAGAAGGGCAGACATGCTGTAATATTAGATACACTTCATCACAACAAAGTTTAACAGCAGCACTAAACAGCCATCAGTGATCATAAAGGTGCAACAACTCTAACTGAACCTTCATGCAGAGGTTCTATTCCATCAGGCAGAGCCAGTCTGAGCTGAAGGTCAAACCAATAAAGCTATACACTTTAATGTGAAGCCATGAGAGTCAGCAACAAAGCCCACTGACCTGGAACTGCAGCCTGTGTCTTTTTGTGAATGTGGAGTAGTGAATTGTTTTGTGTGTGTTCTTTAGACATTTCCAATGTCTGTTTTTCTTTTTCTTTTTCTTTTTTTTTTTTTTTTGGAATTATCCTTTGAAATGTTGTTAACATTATGAAGATCCCGTTCCTGCCCCTAGAACATGAGCATGGGATCATCCTACAGTTTCCTGTGTGAAAGAGTTTCTTATGACTGACAGAAGAGTGAGCGGTGAGGTGTTCACTGCTCAAGAGGCCTGCGGCTCTGACAGAGACTCCGCTCCGGTCATTTTGTGGCTGCAGAGTTTAGGCTGACTTTCTGATGGACCGTGGCAGCTTCAGCCACCGGGATTTATTCGCCATGCGGAGCTTCTGCTGTTTAAATCAATACGCGTCTCCATTTAAAGCGAGGAGATAAGTTTGTTTTAATCCCATAAGGACACTGGAGCCGCTGAAATGAAAATGCTCGCTCGATAATTGAGTTTGAAAAGATGCCACAGCCAGTGTCACCGTCAGGCATATTAGGCCTCTGACCACCCCGCGTCTGAATAGACACATACACGGCTTCCTGTCTCAGAAACCCGACACTGGAACCATCTTCATGACAAATTAATTATCAGTTAATGATCGCTCAATTATTATGGTTATGTCATAATGTAGCCAATAGAATCAGCTCCAGATTAGATTACAATCCACCTTTAAAAACAATTAATTATAATAATAATTATTATTATTGTTATTAATTTACATGTTACCTTCATTTTGCCCTTTTTGGGAGAAAAACAAATAATTTATTTGCCATGTGATGATAATAAAACAGAAGACCTATAATGTGTTCCATAAGAAGCTGTTGTTGGTGAGTCACCTGGTGAACCTGTCTTTAACCACAGCTCAGTGTTCGCAGCCACATTTCTCCGCCATTGCATTTCATCTCAGTAATTTTTCGCCGCTCTTCCCGCTCCTTAATGCTCATTATTGGTCCACATTTAAACGAATAGGTGCAGCTCGGTGCGGATAGGCTGCTGTCTGCATTAAAATTTGATGTCGGGTCAATTGACCAATGGGAAGCGTTGAAAGCATATCAAATATTAATACTTTAATGCCCCGTGTTAAGTAATTACGTCCCAGTGGCTTTTAGAGGGAGAGAAAATCAATGAGCCACATGGTTGAATATTTCATTTAACTGTTATGCAGTCGGTGTGTTTGTGTGTTTGCAGCAGCGGCGGCAGATTAGCTTGTCGTTAATGGGAAAAACGCGCTGCACAAAAACGCAGCTCGTTATTTATGATCTACGATTAAACATAGTTGCATCCATTTGTTCCGCTGGCCTACAATAAATACCCCTCTCATTTAAATCCGCTGCACAGCCATTGATCATTTCCGGATTCATTAATATTTTTAATGAATGTTGCCTAAAGTCAAATAATGACTTATTACTTATTTGCATTATTAAAATGTCACTTAAACTCTGCGGCGGGTTTTCAGTCCTGCAGAAACACTGGCGAAATGTGCAGCTCTGCCCTGGTCTCACACAAACAAATGAAAACGCATCAGTGTTTTTGCAGCAGTGTCATCACTCTAAACATGAATTAATAATGACTCCAGCTCACAACAATATACGAGTAGCGCACATTAAACATCAGTCATTTTTTCACTGATTTATATCGGAACATTTCAAGCCATTAGGCCAATTTATTAGACTCCAAATTTCTGCAGCGCGGATGAACACAGACCAAGTTGCAGCCTAATAAATTATATTAATTATCCCCTTTGAGGTGTGTTGTGGTGGTTTCATTGAATTAATGCTGTTTATTTGCTTGAGCTGAATAATGTCAATAACGTTAGCAGCTTTACAGTGAGCTCAGTTCATGGACAGATGGCCCGTCCATAACTGCCTATTGGAACAGCATGCATGCAAATGCTGAGTTATTTTAACCAACCAACTGCTCCATGCTGCTGGGTTATAGGTTATAGGTTTGACCTATAAATATAGTGACCCAGCATGTTGCGTTGAAGATGCAGCCAGAAATCGTGGGCTGCATCATTCTTCGCAGTCGCTATTTTTATGCATTTTAGGCTACCAAAACACAATGAGAAACATTAAATTGAAATCAATTTTATACATTTTTGTACAACTTTAAACATTTCAAATGGCTAACATGATATGTTTTGGTTGTAGCAATAAAATAGTGGCTTGAACATTATGCGCTTGTTTCATCGTTTCATCATTTTATATGAATTTTAATTGAATTTTAACATTAACAGCAGAAGTTGACTGACATTAAATAGCCTAAAATTCAAATCCCAGTGACAGTGATAACCCAGAATTTCGGTTGTTTTTTTTCAACCCACTTTTTGGTAGCTTTAATTCATCCACATTGTCATTTTTGTCCATTTTTTTGGGTAACAGACTGGCTCGGTCTCTTTTTGACCCAGCACTGGGTTACCACAGTAACCTAAATTGGGTTACTTTTAGCCTTGCAGTTTATAGAGTGTGTAAATGTGGATTACATGTTAAAGAGATAATCTGCTAATTCTGGTTTTAATCTAGTCTGTTATATATGTCTAAACAATATGATCTAAGGTTTACAGCCTTAGTAGGTACAACAATAATAATTTATACATCACATACTCAATAGTAGGCTAAATGTTGGGAGACAAAAATAAAGACTTGATCGGGACATCCCACCCAAGCCCCCGGTCCTCTAATCCATACATGGTTAAAATGATTTATTGATATTTGATGGTAATAACGCTCATAGAAAGATCGTTGGAGAAAAACTTCGGTCGGTCATTTACATTGACACTTTTACATTGAAATTGTTTGTTGAAATTCATCGTGTCAGAAACCTTCAACAAAAAAAATGGAAAAAAATAACTTCAGAAATTGTCCTCCTATAATAACCCAGATATTCTGGACGGAGTAACGAGCTCTGATAGCAGAGAAACCATTGTCAACAGAGAACCGACCGACTGACCGAGGATCAGCGGAGACGCTTGTTGGAGGTGTTAAACTAAAGCTGAGCAATGGTTTGTGTGTGTGTGTGTGTGTGTGTGTGTGTGTCATTGATCTTGTCCACCTGTTAATCAGTGTTTTATGAAGTGCACCAGAGCTCGCGCAGCGAGTCTTTAGGCCTAAAATCGGGTCTTAGTCTCGCGCTGTCTATTTGGCACTTTGATTGATATCCTCCCATTGGGGGTGGGAGGACGAGGGGGGAGGATGGCCGGAGAAGCATTGAGTGGGCAGTGCAGTGGCGGGTTGGGGAGGGGGTGCAGTCCAGCCTTGCTCTTCTCTATGTGCACACACACCTCTGCGCCCACTAGATAACGACCGGAGCTCGCGCAGAAGAAGAGTCCAGGGAGCGGCGCGTGGAGCAGACAGTGTTCCTCGCGCCGGAGCCGGGGGGAGCTTGCGGAGGCCATGGACCACATCGGGATACTGGGGGCGCATTTGCAGCAGCACGCGCACGTGGAGCCCATCAGCTTCGGCATCGATCAGATCCTCAGTAACGTGGAGCAGAGCTGCATGCTGGGAGCGAGGATGCACGAGCCGGACTACGGACACCCAGCTTACAGCGGCGGCGCGAGCGGCTGCGGGAACGGCGGCGGCTTCGCGTGCGGTAACACCGGATATAGCGGCACCGGCAGCAGCTCGTGCGGGATGGCTTCCCTTGGCGGGGCTTATCACATGAACATGGGCGTGAATGTGAACGGAACTAGTGTGAACGCCGCCGGGGTCATCCGCGTCCCTGCACACCGGCCTCTGAACGGCGGGAACTCCTCCATGCCGCCGATGAGCGGGACCATGAACAACCTGACCGCGCTCACCTTCCCCTGGATGGAGAGCAACCGACGCTACACCAAAGACCGCTTCACAGGTAGGCTGTGTAAAATGAAAAAAAAAATCCTCCTATAAAACTATTTTTAAAAGGCCAAAATTTATTGTCTAGAAGAAAAAAAAAATACAATAGAGGCCTCAGCTTTTTGTCCTAAATCATTTCACTAGGTTCAAAGCAAAAACACACAGAGAATTTCACTTCACAATTAAATAAGTGATCAATAACTCATAAATGATGACGTCTAGGCTATTATTCAGTCCGTGATTATTAGGTCCCCGTGTAAAGATGCTTTCAGTCTGTCAACGTCTTTACAATTTCTCTTTTATGGCAGTTTTACTTCTTGATCTTTGCCTTTCACCCTCTCAAAATGTCTGTTTTGAAATGTTAACGTGAAAAAAAAGTTTATTGTAAGTTTTTGTGTCAACAGTTTTTTATTACAAAGAGAAAATGGCTAAATTTAAAATTTAGAAAGATATTGGAGACTGAAGCACATTATTGTTATTAGGGCCTATTATGATGATTATGATTATGATTAATATTATTATCATTGCTGTTATTCTGTAAATATTTTGTCTGACATTTTACAGTGTGGTGTTTATTTTGTGTGTCATAAAGAATGTGAGCTGTGTAACTGTAACTCTTCTTCTTCTGTTTCTTTAGCTGCTGCATTACATTCACCCTGAACCCCATTCAATTTAAACTTCAGCATATTTACAACTGAAGACTTGACTGACTTGTTTTGTCCCAACATTGTTGGCTGCAAAAATATTGTGATATATTATTTTATCAAAATTTCACTCAGGCAGGAAACAAGTTCTCCAACGGTGTTTGAATATGGATTCAACATATATACCCACAGGTTCTCCAAGGGTTCTTTGGTTATGGCATAAATACGAAAAGAAAGTATTTTAATATTTACATATTTACATGCATATATTAAACTTCAAAACAGATCAAGTTCTCCAAAAGTTCACCAAGGAGTCTATTGTTATGGCATAAAAATAAATAAATGGAAAACACACAAAGTTCTCCAAAGGTGTCATGGTGTAAAATTATTATAAATATTTAACAGTGTGGCTCTTGCATAAACTGTTGTTTAAAGGACAATAAGGGAATAGACATGTTGTTTATGTTGCAGCTCTGTTCATACTTACATTTTAAGATTAAATATGAACTGTGTCATTCTTTAAGAGCTGTATCTTGTATAATGTTCATGCTCTGCTGCTGCTGCTCCATCAGTGCTCTCTGCTTGTTTTCGGTCTATCTGCCCTGCACACCCTGCTTTAACCTGTCCTGTACTTCTCTGCCCTTTGACCTGTCCTATCCTATTCTGTCCTGTCCTGTCCTGTCCTGTCCTGTCCTATCCTGTCTTGTTCTGTCCTGTCCAGTGTCCCTCTCACCCCTCACTGTAACACGTCGTGTAGGTCATCCCTACCAGAACCGGACGCCTCCTAAGAAGAAGAAGCCTCGGACGTCCTTCACCCGCCTGCAGATCTGTGAGCTGGAGAAACGGTTCCACCGGCAGAAGTACCTGGCGTCAGCTGAGCGGGCAGCTCTGGCCAAAGCCCTGAAGATGACTGATGCTCAGGTCAAAACCTGGTTCCAAAACAGACGCACCAAATGGAGGTGAAACCATCCTTCATTTGACAAGACATTGTTTGTTTTCCTTGTTTCATCACTCACAGCAGATGGTGAGCTAAGAGTATTTTTGAAGCCTGAACAACTTTTTTTCATGGAGGCTGGAGGTCCTCTTGGTCCTAAGGGAGGTTAGAGGTCCTCCAGTGGATGTTAAAGGGTCAGGAGGTCCCATTAGACCAAACTTGAAAAACTGTTAAAGACTGTTTAAATTGACTGGTATTGCTAGGAGCCCAGTATGAAGGTTTTATACTTACTGTATAAGTAATGGCGTTTTTATCATTAGCTTCCCTCCCACCACAGTAGCCATCTTCTTATGTAGTCTTATCTGCAGTTCAATACACTTTCACAATAAATCATAATAAAAGATAAGCAATAAGCACTCAGTGTCCAGGTTATTAGGTCAAACTAATGCAGTCTAATACAACAGTCCAGCAGTACTCAGTACTAATGTTCAGCTGTGCTCAATCTGCAGGCTGGAGTTCATGGTGCTGTGCATTATACAGAGAAGTGTTTCTGTTGTTTAGCAGGGATATTAATGGGTTGGACAAAATAATAGAAACACCATGAAAGGAGGATTTACTGCAGGACTGTTGTATTGAAGTGCATCAGTCTGAGCCTGGTGCACTGAAGAAAACTGAGTATGTAAAAAAGCCAAAACTCTTAAAATGCAATCTGTGTGAATGGGTCTTGATATAAAGAGACTCTGCTCCTTTAAATTTAACCAGGTTATTGTACATCTTTAAAAATTTCACAGTAAAAAAGCTTCAAATAGGAAGAACCTCCACGATTCCGTGAGAAAAGAAAGAAAATAAACATCATCGTTGTTTAAAAAAAGAAAAAGAAGATATATTCTTATTTGTTTGCTTAACACTATTATTTTTCTGGCAAATCATTTATTAAAAAGTCACGGTGAAAGAAATGTTAAAATAGACGACGATTAAAAGAAAGAACCCCAGCATTTTATTTAAAGAAGTGGACGTATAGACCTATGTGGGTGTGTTATACAAATAGGCCCATATTTAAAATGATCAGTGATAATTCTTAGCACCTTCCATAAATAAAACATCAAGTTTTGATGTAAATCACAGTAGGCCAGCAGCCCTAAAGAAAACATTTGCATTGATAAAAAGCACTAAACATATCGCGTCATCATCTTTATTTTGTTGAGATTCTTCGTTGTTTCAGAGTTATTTATAAACTAGAAGAGCGCAGACCTCCGCCCCGGCCAATGTCAAATTCACTGTATGAATAGTATTTTTGTCTGGTCCATGCCGCATCTCTACAGCAAGGTCGGTGTGTAATCCTGCTGACAGACAGACAGACAGACACGGGTGAAAACATCTCCTCCTCCTCGGTAATAAAAGGCAATGAAAACAAAATGTGGACATAAACAAATCAAGGCAAAAACACCGGGCAGTAAATAAGAATCCTTCGGACCGTGAAAAAGGATTTTAGGCCTAAATGAATATTATTTAGTCTATTTCTATGTTATGCAGAAATAATAATTGTTAATGTGACAGTAAAGAAAGGCAGAAAATGCTTTTAACAATGAAAGAAATCTTTGAAAAATAAAATGAAAATGAATGAAATGATATCTACTTACTGGACTGTGTACCTAAAGCTAATCCTAAAGCTGCTTGTTTTATTATGCTATTGCTGTTTTTATATAAGGCTACCAATTTTATTTTTCAGTGACAATAATAAAGCTTTCGATTTTGTAATAAATTATAGGCTAGATGGCTGGATTAAAAAGTGACGAACGCACAAATTGAGGCAAGATGAGGACACATCTATATATAGAGAGAGAGGTTATATATATAACCTGTTGGTGTCTATATAGACTATACGGTAAATTCTGCGTGCAACATAAAGCTCTGGTTATAATCTTCTGAGTGATTTGTTTTTATATAGCTTAAGTAATTTATAATGACTCCGTTTGATGAAGCTGTAGACACCGTGGTCTGTTTGCTGCATGTGTGAGTCCGCGGTGTTTCCTTGTCGCTGTTGCAGGCGGCAGACGGCGGAGGAGCGGGAGGCGGAGCGGCAGCAGGCCAATCGGATCCTCATGCAGCTGCAGCAGGAGGCCTTCCAGAAGACCATCAACCAGCCGGTGACCCCGGACCCGCTGTGCCTGCAGAACAGCTCTCTGTTCGCCCTGCAGAACCTGCAGCCCTGGACCGAGAACACCGCCAAGATCAGCAGCGTGTCGGCCTGCGAGTAGAGCCAACACACGGCCTGCAGCTGGTACCTGCGCCGGTACCGAGCGACTGCTGGAGGGCAGAGACAGCGGCGGCGGCGGCAGCCCGCTGCGGGGCACCGTGCAGAGGTGGCCCCCGGTGCAGGACACGGTTTGATAGATGCTGGTTATCAGGTCACCTCCCTGCTCTTATTATCACCCACTCTCTGTCAGACACACTCTGCTGCAGCTAACAGCTAACATGCTTCTCATGGGCTCACTCAGCACTACCCCATCTAACGAGGGTGTCCACAGTCTGATGTGGACCCTGCAGAGCCCTGGACTGAAACCTTGCTTCAGCCCTGCACAGAGCGGCCTGCTGGACTGATACTCTGGGATGAACAGTGCTCCTCAAAGGACCAGGACTGAGTTGTTGTATTATAGTTTCCCTATAAGAGACTTGATGTTTCATAAACAGCATATTTTCATATTTGATGTCTGCATCAGTGTCTGTATTTATCTGCCATGTTAATGGACCTTTAACTGCAAAATTACAGCACTTGTCTTAGCACCTTTGTACGAATTTGAACATATTATCCACCACATGAGAATGAAGAGGACATCTGTGTGTTTGACCATTTTATAATTTAGGCATAAAGCCTCTGATCAGAGGAGAATTTAATGGCACTTTGCAGCTACATTTAACTTTTGACCACAGCTTAGCACATTTCACATTTCCTCATCTCTTATTTTTGTACCAATGTCTTACAAACTGAATCTCTCTCCTCTCTCTCTCTCTCTCTCTCTCTCTCTGCTGAATGTGAGGCTGAGATCAAACAAACTGACCAACCACAAACAGAGACCAGTCATCAGTCCACAGGGCTTTTATTATCTTATCTGACCTTTGTGTGTGTGTGTGTGTGTGTGTGTGTGTGTCTGTGTGTGTGTGTGTGTGTGTCTGTGTGTGTGTGTGTGTGTGTCTGTGTGTGTGTGTGTGTGTGTCTGTGTGTGTGTGTGTGTGTGTCTGTGTGTGTGTGTGTGTGTGTGTACGCGTGTGTGCGTGTGCATCATGCTAGAGTGCACATGCTAAGTAAATGAGTATAGAAACATAACATCTGTTTCTACCTGTACTGATGACAATAATATATTCTGAATTAATGTGTCTTTCTGCAGAGTTGATAATAAGTAAATGAAAATGTCTTTAGTATGCAGCTGTAACAATTAGTCGATTAATTGAATAGGAAAGTTTATAAGCAAATATTTTGATAAGTGCTTCATCAGTTTTGTCATTTGTAAACAAAAATGTCAAATATTTGCAGCTTCCAGCTTCTCAAGTTTGAGAATTTGATGCTTTTCTTTGTCATATGTCACATATCACATATATTCAGGGTGTGTACTGTTTGTCAGACAAAACAAAACATTTGAACACGTCACCTTGGACATGTAACAGGTTTTTTTTTCAGTATTTATTGCCATTTTATGAACAAAATGATTTATTGCATAACTGAAAATCAGTTGGCTGATTCATGGATAATGAAAATCCTTACTTTCAGCCCTTATTTACTGTATCTTCTCAATTTTGCAGCCAAATTCAATTTTCATTTGTCTCAGTGGAAACACATTTGTAACTCGTGTTCATTTTCATGCAACTATATATTTTGTCACTTAAAGTAAAACAGTAGAATCAGTCCATTGCTTCTTGTTCCCATCACAATTATTTTTTTCTCTGATGCTGTGCAGTCGTGGATCTTCATCAACCACACACCTGGTTAGAAACATTCTACACATCAAAAAATAATGACAATAAGCAACATGTGTCTATAACGTAACTATAGATTAATATTCAACCACAGGTGAAAGTAAACCAGTATGACAGTTGTTTTTCTTCCACATCCAGCAGTTACAGAGGTGCAGCACCATCAGTGTGGAGTTGATGAATCTCCGTCCAGTGTCCCCTCTCTTCTAGCTCCGTGTTTGGTCTCCACCAGCTCCTCTTTAGCTGCCGAATGCTCCAGTATGTTCACCAGCTGTTCTCTGACTGTCTGTCTGCTGCAGGTAGTGGACAGGGACAGTTATGAAAACAGCTGCTGCTGCTGCTGCAGCTGAAAATGGCGAGAGAGAGCGGTGAAGGCGAACCAGAGCAGTAAAGTCGTGTCTGGATAAACAATGAGCTGGAACTCACTATGAAGCTCCATAAAGCAGAGGAGAGCTGCAGATTCAGCTGATAATTCCCGTTAGGTTCATCACTATTGGAGACTCCTCTCACATTCTTATTAGATAAAACTGTGATCAGACGGGATCAGTACTGATTCCAGCTGCTTTAGCCTGATCCTGAGAGTTTTGTTTTTTTGTTTTTTCACTATTTTTATTCTTTGAGCTTTTTTTGGGAACACTCAGAAAATGTTCCTAAATGAAATAGTGATCAGCACATGGACCTAATAGTTTTAATGGAGGCACAGCAGCTAGTTTTTCATGGTTAAAACTACAAAGTAAATGTGATAAACATAAAAAAAAGGAACTAAATCACAGTCATCAAAAGTCACAAAAATAAATGAAACACAAATTGAATCAATTAATTTAACAAAGGAAAAACAAGACAATACATGAAATAAAATAGTAGTGAGATAAAATAGACAATGAATTATAAGAAGAGATCTTTTGGGGATAATGTGTCAAAAGTAAAGATGGAGAAATCCACCAACATGTTATTTACGCCTCCCACTGTTTGGCCTTTTGCGTGGGTGTAGAAAGGTGGTGTCATGAGGGGCTGAACATGATGCTGGATGTTTGGGCTCGTTTGTACAAAATGCTTTTAACGTTTAATCATGGACGCACATTTTTGTTTCAACTGATCATCACGTTTATCAGCTCTCACAGTATATTCCCAGATATGGGTCAAGGCTACATGAAGAGATTTTGTAAATCAAGATATGAGTTTTGAATGTATTTTTGCATTTTTTTATCCAAGAATTTTTGGGTGTGTATTGGAGTTGGCAGTGCATGCTGAGCCAACTGTTTGGCAGTGTGTGTGTGTGTGTGTGTGCGTGTGCGTGTGCGTGTGCGTGCGTGTGTGTGTGTGTGTGTGTGTGTGTGCGTGCGTGTGTGTGTGTGTGTGTGTGTGTGTGCGTGCGTGTGTGTGTGTGTGTGTGTGTGTGTGCGTGCGTGTGTGTGTGTGTGTGTGTGTGTGTGCGTGCGTGTGTGTGTGTGTGTGTGTGTGTGTGCGTGCGTGTGTGTGTGTGTGTGTGTGTGTGTGCGTGTATGTGTGTCTGTGTGTGTGATGTGATATTCTCCAGGACTGCTTTCTAAAAGCTTGAAGAGGAATGTAAAGGAGAATTTCATCATCCACTCAGAAATATCAGCACTGAGCCGCTGGAGCTGAGCTGCAATGAAACCTCCTGGAATTCCTCCCACACACACACACACACACACACACACACACACACACACACACCATTTTACCCTGGGGAGGAAGCATGGTCACTGGAGCTGATAAAGGTAAAGCAAGTTGAGAAACACACTCACCAGCACAGAGTTTTTCTCTTCTTCTTAGTATTTCAATCAGACCAGTGAACCATAAAAACTGTCCTCTGTCCATATACTTTTGTCTACATTTTCTTGATCTTTTCTTGGCACTTTCAGTTCAATAAAGACAAATGTTAGTGCGTCTCCAGCACCAATGTTGTGTCAGCAGTTTGTGCACAAAGCAGCTCCATAAAGAAATGCTTCTCTCACTTTGGCTTGGAAGAACTGGACTGGTCCTCACAGATCCCAGACCTCAACCCATCCAGCACCTGTTAGCCAGACATCACCTCATCACCAGCATCAGGGCTGGACCTCACTGATGCTCTGGTGTCTGAATGGGAGCAAATCCCTGCAGCAGGTTCAACACGGAGGCCGTGGAGTAGCGCCCAGCGCATCAATTACTTATATTTAACACATACTACTGTGTGTCCACATGACTGTTATCATACAGTACATGCACATACTGTCACATATGACACCAGATCCCTTTGGCTGCTGTGGAGTGTTAAAGTTCATTCTTGACCTCAGTCAACTTATCAGATATTTCCAGAGCTTTCAACCACATCTTGTGCTTTTCATCGGTGGATGGAAATGGGAGAGTTGCTCATTTAACAGATACACTGAAAAATCAGAGATACAAAGAGAAATTTCAGATCTCAGTTTGTGACACTTCTGGCACTTTTGGCATTTCTGCTTTATTTCTACAGCAACAGTAGAGACGGACAGGAAAGTCAGGGGAGAGAGAGAAAGGGAATGACACGCAGCAGCATTCAGGCCGGACCCGAACCCTGGCTGCTGCAGCAAGGACCCAGCCTTAGTACATGGCACCAGCTCCAGATGAACCACCAGGCTTGCCCTTGTGTTTGTCTTTCTGAGGCACTGTGCCTCTCTTCTTGTTGTACTGAAAGTGTCACCTCAGAGCCAAGAGCTGTTCAGGGCCCTGGTGTGTATGTACACAGAAAAACCAAAAGAATGATGGTGTTTACTGTCAGACAAAATAATCTGAACTCAAAGCTGCACTTCATCTGCGTATTCCTCATTTTCAGTGCACACTTTGTCATGGAAGAGCTAAAGTCAGCTGCAGCTCTGAACTCTCTAAGTGCTCCACTCATTTCTTCTTCATTTACACAGGCGCAAAGCAAACCACGTTACTGAAGCAGCTCGGTCTTTAATTTTCAATAAATCAACATGCGCTGCCTCAACGTGCTCCATAAAATAAATTCCCTGTTAATTAGGACTGGTGTCTGTAGCATTGTAGCAGATTTAATATGGTGTGCTCTTTGGGGCTACGAGAAGCTCCAGACTGTGGAGGATTCATTCCAGCACAGGTTTGTAGGAGGTGATGCTGCCAGACTGATGCAGCTGAAAATGCACCAGTGGAGTTCATGTACAGTCAGAGCTGTAGCTGCCACTGAAGGACAGACAGGTTGTGGACTTGGCTTTAAATTTAGGTGGATAAAAGAGGGACAACATTTCTGTCTGAGTACAGTTATAAATGATGATATACAATACATCATTGTACCCAATGCACACAATACAATATTTCCAAACCTTGGAAACCTTCCAAAGTCAGGCTAGCTGTTGCCTCTGCTTCCAGTATTAATGCTAAGCTAGGCTAACCACATCCTGACCATAGACTGTAAATAAAGATGGCTCTAACTTCTGTGACATCACTCATAGGTTTCTGAAGAGCAGTTTTGAAGTTCAGAGTGAGCTGTTCCACCGTTGACATCTTGCCAGTGTCTGACTCCGCCCCTAACTCTCAGCTAATCCAAAAATGGGCAAAGAGGTGGGGCCTCTTTCTCTCAGAGAGGCCACGCCCTCAATTGTACATAACTTTACACCTTAATAAAATGTATACATGTGAGTTATATAACAGTTGTCATTAAGAAGGAAAGTAGCTACAGAGACCAAAACTGTTTTTGTACCAGGCTGTAAACATGTTTATTTCTGCTGTAAAGTTGGACATTTTAACATGGGAGTCTACGGGGATTGACTCACTGTTGGAGCTAGTGGTCATTAGTGGAACTGCAGTTTATGGAAGTTCCATTGTTGCTTAATTTTTCGGCCAATGGAGTTGGCCGCTTAGCCATGACTTTAACTCTGTACCTACACACCCAGACATGACATGATATCATCTGAACTATATCAATAAGATTTTCAGTCACTGTTAAGGAGAGGTGTGATAAATTATGCTAAAGATAAAGTAGCACTTTTTTGTAACCAAACCAGACCAACAATAAACACCTCATTATTTTTAAGTTTCAGTGCACAGAAGGTTGTTCTTTATAAAGTGAAGTCATTGCAGTTGCTGCAGCAAAACTGTCAAACTCCTCTACACTCACCCCCTGTACACCTGCTTATTCATGCAATTATCCAATCAGCCAATCATGTGGCAGCAGTTCAGTGCATCAAATCCTGCAGATACAGGTGAGGAGCTTCAGTTCATATTCATTTTAACACTCCTAGATTTTCTCTAGAGTTGTTACTCAGAATGAAGCCAAAACAAAAAGCACCCAGTGAGCAGCAGCTCTGTGTTGAGAGGTCATGGAAGAATGGACAGACTGGTTGGAGCTGACAGAAAGCCTGAGTCTGAGTGACCGTAAGAACACCTTTGGGATGTGGTAGAACAGGAGATAGGCAGCATGAATGTGAAGCTGACAAATCTGCAGAAATGATGTGATGCATCATGTCAACATAGAGCAGAGTCTCAGAGGAAAGTTTCTATCATTTGGTGGATCCCTGGCATGAAGAACTGAGGCTGTTTGAGAGCAGAAGTAGGAACTAACCCTTTTATATCAGTTTTAAATCATTATTTACATAACAAATAGTTAACAGTAGAAGTAGATGACCAGAACATGTCGAGCTTCTACACATAAGTCTATATAGTTATGAAGAAAGTACAGAAACATAACAATAATGAACCTAATAATAATGATAATAGTAATAATAAAATGTAATATAATAAAATATATTTATTTATTATATTTTTTAAATTAAATAAAAATGTATTATTATTATTATTATTATTATTATTATAGTCGTGGTACAGATCAAAGCTGATTTGCAGTACTGTGTCTCCCTCTAGTGGCGTGTAATAAACATTGCACTACCGCGTTACGCTATATTTTCCGTCGCAGGGTGATGACGCAAACTGCGTAAATGAAGCTCGACAAACAACAACAGCATCCTTGTGTAAGTGTCCGAGCAGTGCAGACTTAAAGTGTTTGTGCTTGTGTTTGAGCTGCAGACATGTCTGTTCTGCGGAGCATCTGTGCTTCAGCCAGAAGACACGTCGTCTCTCCGGGTCTAACGCTGGACCGGGTCTTCACAGGTTAGCTAACCGAACCTCGGCCACTGCTCATGGGCTTCATGTCTTCATGTCTAAAGCCTAAAGCTGTTGCTCTCGTTTTTTTACTCATGTTTCACACCGTAGCGTGTTAAATTAGGCTGGAGGTCTCTCATGTCCCTCTGTCTGTCCTCCTCAGGGTCTTCACGAGCAGCTAGCGGAGCGGCGAAGGACAAGAAGCCGCTGAAGAAAGCTAAAACCCCGCAGGGTCGGTTTGACAACCCCGAGGAGAAGAGCAGAGATGTTCTTGAAAGTGAGAATGTTGCAGCAGGAGACTGTGTCTTTGTTTGTTTGGTCTGGTTGTGGCTGTAGAACTTAAATAGACAAAAGACAATTCATTATTATATGTAATTAATTATATTTTGTTAAAACTTAACGTCAGACTAAGACCTCCCAAGGTCTACTTATTAGTATTTACCATAACTTTCAACCACATTTCACAGTTTTTCATTTTCTCAGTTATGTGACAGCATTGAACTTCAGAAGTTGCTATCAGCGTAGGAAGGCTTTGCCAATGTGGTTGAAATCTCAGGAAGAAGCTAGTGGACATTGAGTACAGAAATGATTGTGAAGGCTTAGTGTTAGAGCTGAATGCATTAGTTTCATCTTGGAGCTAATAAACTGGACACTGTGTGTTTTAAAGCCATGGTTCTCAAAGTGGGGTCTGGGGACACCCAGGGGTCCTTGAGGGGTCCAAGAAAAAAGGGGAATCATTTATTTTCACCATATTTCAGAATGTATTTTGGTCATGGGTTTTAAACACTTTTTGTAATAAAACAAAAGAGGAAGAAAAGCAAAAATCTTATCAGATGAAGGTCTGTGGTCTAATTGGTGTCAGTTTAGGGTCCTTTATGGGGGAAAAGTTTGAGAACCACTGGTTTAAAGAAGGTAAGCCATCTGAACTGAAGCACCATTTTTCAAATTTAATATTTTCCCAGAGTTCCCTGATGACGTGAACCCTGTAACCAAGGAGAAGGGGGGCCCTCGTGGACCAGAACCCACCCGCTATGGAGACTGGGAGAGAAAGGGCCGCTGTGTCGACTTCTAGCTCATTACACGTAAATCTGTTGTATCGCACCTGCATTCTGGAGATGTAGAGGAAGATGGGTGTTTCTGACTGTGAATGTATCAATATAAACATACATGTTGGAGAAAGAAACTAGTTTTACATGTGTACCTGCAGTATGTCCTGGCTGTTAATAATTTGCATTTTGCTAAACAAAAGCAAACAGAATATCAACAAAAATCCGATGTGAGGTAACTTGATGGCCAATTGGTTAGGGCACACACCACATGGGCTTAAACGCCCTGAGCAAGGAGTCCACAGTTTGACTCCCGGCTGGCTGGACCATTCCTCTTACTCTCTCCCTGCATTTCCTGTCTGTCTCCACTGTCACCATCTAATAATATAAAAAATAACTTAAAAAATCTGATGTGTGAAGCTCTAAGTTATGTTTTGCACATTGATGTTGTTGTGAAAGATCAATAAAAAGAAAAGTGATTCAAAGCACAAGTCCTCTATGTTGATTTGTTTATTTTGATCATTTATCAGATAAATCCATCAGACTGAAAACTGTAGCTCAAAACATCTGTCCATGCAGGCTCACCAAATTCATTGTTAAAGTAAAGAAATAAGTTGGAACGAGTAATTTTTGAACAGCAGAATAATGTGAACCTGTTTTCCCTTTGTGGTAACGGTCAACCTTGAAAACCCTTTCATTGCCCCATTTTGAAAATTGTCTTTAAACAGAAGTCAGGTGAATCCAGTAAGGTGCTTTCAGTTGTACCAACCAGGATGGGTGTTAGCAGCCTGGTGAGGATTACCTATGGTTTGTAATGGATCATATGTGCTTCCTGTTTGTGTTTCCAAAGACAAACAAGCTAAACCGCTATTGAGAGGTTCCACTCTTCAGTAGATTGGTTGTAACAGTTTTTTTTTTTTTTTTTACTGAATTCAATTACTCTGTTATCATCGTCATCATCATCATCGACATAATTGAAGTAGCAGGGGCAGCGCTGCTAGTGTCTGATCAATCATAGAAATTGATGCAGTTATTAGTTTTGCCGCTAAAGGGGAGTAAAGCGCCACATCAGCTCGCTCCTCCTGCTGAACACTCAACTCAATTGATGGCTGTGTTGCCTTCAAAGCCGTCAGCAAATATAGGAATTATGAATCTTTCCACTCTAAGAAAGTGAAAATAGAACTGTGAATGTTTGTGTGAATAATCACTTTTGTGTCTTTTAAATGCAGTTACGTCACAAACACACAGTGCATGTCACACACACAGTATATAGAAACAGTAGGTATGTGTTCATATGATCCGAGCAGAACGTCCGGATCTGAGGAGCAGCAAGTGAAGGCAGCACGGTTAGAGGAAGGAGGCTGAGGCGACACGAAGCTGCTACAACAACGGGACTCTATGAGCACAGCTCCGGCTCTGTGTCTGGTCAAGACCCACATATCTGTCCTTTGTCTGGTTGTTTCTGAGGCGGGCTTGTAACGGCTGCCTCAACTGGTGGACAAACACTCAGAGTGGGCGCTGGGAGAGTCAGTGACCCGGAATGTGAGGTTTTAGGAGAAGGAAGCGGTGGATCATACTGATGCGGAATTTACGAGAAGATCTCGAAGAGGAGAGTCAGGCCTACGTCGTCTTCTATTAGGTTTGTACACATTTAACTAAGAGATGTTTTAAACGAGTGTAATACGTGTTACACAATTTCCATAGTAAAATCACAAAACCAGGGTCATACTACTGCTTCAACTTTCACTTTTGTCTAGGTTTCAGGCTTTGTTGTGTCTCTGAACTGTTTGAGTAGATGTTTTTATTGTGTAGTTTGTAACATCAAAGTAAAATTAGCTTTAACACGCTGTGGTGGGGACTGACCTTACATGGACAGCTCTGTACACCACACACTCTCTCTCCGTGTAGGTCACCTGTGTTTGTTGCCATGGCGACTTCCACTGTCCCGGTGCTTCAGGGTTGGACAAACTGCGTTTGAGCATCAGCTCTGGCTATTGACTGGATTTAAACAACTGTTAATGTACTATGACGAACGCACATGTAGTTTACGTATGCCACAGCAGACTGGGAGTGCAAAAAATTCTGGCGGGGATTGGCAAAGACATTTTCCAGTCTGACAAGTCAAACAGTTTGTTTCTGCTGGTATTTTCTGGTTACGTGTCAGGGGTGTAAGATTCTCCAAATCCATGGTCTGGTTTATTTTTTGTTTGTTTGTTTTGTTTTGCTGTCTTGAATGTAAACTGGGGGTCTTCATCTCGGGGTTATTATCCATCTAGAGCTAATTAAATATCAAACTAGCCTAACTTTTCTAACTTTTACCCGTGGATACCACAGGCGTGAATAGTCGCCTGATCATGATTGGACCAAAATAGTCACATGACACACGCAGTAGGAGCCAACAAAAGAGTAACGTGTAATACTTACAAAGTATACAGCTTGGCCTACCTTTAAATAGATTCACATGTGTTATAGTGTTGATTGTGTTATGAAAGAATTGTTTTGTTACATTAGCAACATAATGAGAGCTCAACAGGAGCATCAGGGCAGCTTTTTTTGTTTTGTTTTTTGGCGTTATCCTCTTCCGGTAGGGCTGTCTTCTTCCTTGTCTTCTGACTTGTTGCTGCTGTTTGTGGAGTCTGTGTGTGTTCACACAGTGAGTGAATTGTGTTGACTAAAGTGGAAATAACCAGGTAGTGTATTTCTCTGGAGATGTTGAAGTGAAGAGCTTAACATATTTAATGGTGACTGCTGTGATCACTGCAGCCATTACTGTGGCTAATGTTTACGATCTGCTGCTGAACCACATGATCAAATAGTCAGTGCAGGCTTGAAAGAGTGGGGTGTTCTGCAGTGGATCATATTCATCATCAGAGAGTCAATCAGTTAATCAATTAGTTCAGTTAATCTTGGGCTCTTTGTTCTGTTGTAGCCTTTTTGATTGACAATTACCTCTTGAGTCTAGCATCACCCTCTCTAGGCCATCACCAAGGAAACCAGGCACACCATCACAATGGAGGATAGTCTGAGAGCTCCTCCAAAACCTGAAAATAATGCAATATGTGGTGGTCCTGTGTTTACTGAGACATTATTGTGATGTTCTGCAGTACACAATGTTCATCCCTGTATAAATGAACTCATGTAAGGCTATTTCATTTGTTAAGTCACAATCACTGTAAAGTTGCATCAGACAAGAGAAATTAGATATTTGACTGTTTAACCTTCAGTATCTTGTCAGTTTGGTGACATCACACACTTTGAACTAAAAACAAAAATGCATCAGTTTCCTCTTGTTGCAGTGTGCTGTGGGTGGTGTGTCGAGGTGCCTAATAGAGATGTAAAGCAGAGTGAAGGGGAAGCAGAACAAAGCACACTGCAGCCTGCTTTGTTACACGCTGAAGACAGCAGTGTCAGTCCATACTGAAGGCAGAGCTTAGGGTGTTCAAACCTTTCGGTCTGTTTTGACACACACTCAGCTGTGTGACATGTCGTCACCCTCCTCTAAAGTCAGTGTTTCTAACTGACCGCCAAAAGTCTAAAAACATCTTCTCAGTTGAGTATAGTCACGATCACTTTAATAAGTTGGTAATAATGACATTCACACTGGTTGTTAGAATTTCTAAAGTTTTTTTCAGTGAAACTCCTTAATTAAAATGGTATGTTTATAACTGTTTATATAGAATACAGAGTTCAGGTACTGTGTGGAAAGATCTGTACCAGGAGAGAAAATGTATCAAATAGGAAAATGTATCAATACTGAAACTCCAGTAGCTATGTATTATATATATATATATATATATATGTGTATATTTATATTGTGCCTCTGATACAGAAACATTTCAAATTATTTTTATTTCACCCAGTTTGACCGCCATGTTTGCACTCTGCTGGACAGCCTGAGCCAGCTGCTTCTCTACAAGCAGTGACAGTGCACAGTGGTGCGTGAGCAGTCCACATGATGTGTCCAGGGCTCTGAGCTGACCCACCGGACAGACGGTGTTCTGTCTCGTTGGTGCGATGAACACAGGCAGGTCTGAGCATGCAGTCTTAATGAGATCAGTCAGGTGAGGAGCATCGTATCATTACACTGCCTGGACCCACCTGCATGCTTATCAGGCCCGCTGCTTAGTGATGCCACAACACAAGGAGAGACCTTCCCCTTCACTACGCAACTGAAGATGCGTATGTGCCACTTAGATATGTGTGAAGAAGAGATTGCATTATTTATTTAATTTTTCAGTATTTCTGTGTGTCACTTGAATTCCTAGTAATTAAAGTGCTAATTGAAGCTTTAAACATTTTGTCTGTTTGTGCTACACTCGTTCATATTGTTTTAACAGTGGATGAAATGATATGTTTAGTGTCGCTCGTGGGGATGAATCCACAGAGAATCACCATCAACTCTTCTACATAGTTTTACAGTACAGCCTGACTGAAACTGAATTTATGAAGCCAACACTGATATCTATATTTTTTTGTTTCTTTATGCAAACACTGATACAGGTACTTACTACGCAGCATGTTTTACAGTGTAAAACGCCACTGCTCTCTGGTGGATGAACTCTGTAACACTCTTTCTCATATCTCTATTGACATTTACTGTTACTGATCAGCCACATTATACACTGATACCATAACATGAAATTGTTTTTACATCACATTTACTGTTTGGTTCAGTAAACAACAGTGGAGCAATGTTGAAGCGAAAGTGACAGATATTTCCCTCAGGAGCAGGTAGAGACCAAAAACAGAGCTAAAAGAGAGGAAGTACTGAGCTTAGATTCATCAGGTGGACACAAACTCCACTCCAACTGAATCATCATGTTGCTCTGTGCTGAAGAGGTCAAAGGATCAGGCTTCAGGTCGTTTTCTTGAGTTAAGTTTCTGGCATGGGCCCGGTTCAGGGTTTGATTATATTAAAATCTTTCTCTTCATTATTTAATATGAATCTTTCAGGGTTTTTTTAATTAATTATTTAGCCTATAAAATGCTAGATATTTGCAAAAAAAAATCCTAGAGCTGTTTTAAAAAATCATTTAAACATGAATCATTTATTAGAATTCTTGGAATTAAATTATTGAGTCCTGGATCAGGTTTGGGTCTCCAATTCACAGTTTTTGTCGTTGAGTCAGGTTGCTCTTAAAGACATGGGTATGGGTTTTAGACCTGTGAAAAACTCTGTTGAGAACTGTTTGCTGTAAGAAACAGGAAACCTTATACAATGAAAATATGTCAGATGTTGTGTTTTCAGCTGATTCTGCTGCCCCCAAGTGGCCAAAAAATGAATTAATGCAGCTTTAAGGTTACTTTATGTAGAATTTCTTAATTAAAATATAACATATAATTGTTGCGATAAGAACTTTTTGATTTTAGAAATAAGACAGTCAATATGAAAATGTGTTCAGTGTCTGTTGCTTTAGGTCAGAAATGTTCACAGTGTTCTTTTCCTCCTCAGAGTGTCTGTCATTGTGTTACTGTATGTCTTCATGTACTGTCCTTCTTTCCTGTGTCATTACAGGGCTCCTGTGATCCTAAACCCATAAACATGGAGTTTGTAGTTAAGAAGATACTGGGCAGAAAACTCACAGCTCCTCCAAGGTACATGAATTAAACCAGAAGAATCAAATAATACGCAGCATGTTTTACAGTGTAAAACTCAGCTCGTCACTGCTGAATCATGAAGATTTCATGACTCAAAACAGGACATCTAAACCTTTGTTAGAAAACAAAGTCTCAATGTATAACATTGAAAGTTGTTGTATTCCTTTAGTTGACAGGTCCCTGCTACATTTCCTCTGTCCAATGGAAGCCAAAGGATGCAGCCAGAGATGGAAGATGCACCTCCCAGAGTTTAAGCACAGCAGAAGATGCTCAAGTCTGACGTCAAAAGACAGTGAAAGAGGCAAAACAGAAACAGAGAGAGACAGAGGACGGTCACACAAAAGTGTTTCTCTGGCGTCCACCTCCAGGTTTATGACAGACAGACAGTATGTGATGAGGAAGCCTTTGTTCTCTGCAGAACAGCATACATCCATCTTAAAGAAGACACAGGAGCACACACAGAAGGTGAGCAGGACAGAGGATATTTATTAGAATTCTAGAGGAAATGATGCTACAAGTTTTAAATTCTAGTAACTACAGATCACATTTTACACATGTGTTTAATTATGTAAATGTAAATGTGATTTTACTTGTTGGTCTCGCGTATGATTCCCAGTCCCAGACAATCTGACAAACTGGGACCTAATAATGTTTCTATAACACTTCCAACACTGGTCTGAACTCAGTGTCGTTGCATTAATTAATTAAGACTGAAATATCTAATGTACACTTTTATAATTTATATTTATCTAAAAGAGGAAAACTGTTACAATAACCACCTGCGACAGAATATAAGAACCGCTGACAGAAAAACCGGAATGAGAATGAAATGAAATGAAGCTCGGCGCTGGTTAAGGCTCCAGTCTGCTGCTACACTCTCATGACGTACATACTGCAACACATGTCCAACACAACCGTCTAATCATGGTGCTGTAGCCGTCAGTGTCAGTCATGATACTGTGAGAAAAGTCATGATATAATGGGAAGAAGTAATAAAACAGGCAGTTCACACTCTCCATGGTCACTAATTAATTCACTTCGAAAGCAAAGTCAGTTTTAAAGACCATCAGTGATGCCGCCTGAAAGAGAAGTGAGGACACTCTTTCATTCTCAGCAGTGACTGCTCTCCCTCTGTGGAGTTGCAGCTCTATCTGTAACGAGGGCTGGGTATCCAACTTCAGTACTTTTATGGACCGACTGAATTGGTTTGATGCTATCAAGGATTAAAAAGTGTCCTAGTAAAGGAGTAAATCTCATCAGCATCAGTGAGCCAATCAGCATGCAACATGCTTGGACCAAGATTTAATAATGCTGGTGATTGGCTGTTTATTTACACCAGGGGTTTCTAACTAAACTTTTCCAAGAAACCAGAAACATGTTGCCATGGATACAGTGAGTTAAACTGTGGCTTCAACTTGAACCCTGTTTTTTTCTTTTGAGCCCATGGCTTGGAAAATGAAGTGAATGATGTATTTTAACTTCCTGTTTAACTTTCTGTGTCCTGTCACTGATCACTGACTGAGGAGCTTCTTCCTCTCTGGTTTCTCTCATGTCTGTGTGTTCAGGTCTGACTGAATCATGACTCAGATTTTTGTCTGATGTTTCAGATGTTTTTGGATATTGATATTTAATGACTTGTTAAATGATCTTATTGATCTGATTTGGTTTGGAGATCAGTTTGAGTGTTTTGATATGATATGTGAATAAATGTAATATATATGTAAGTTTCTCTCAGAGTAAAAAAGGTTGGAGACCCCTGATTTACAGGAATACGTTTGAGTGTGTAAAGAGATTTGTACTGTAATGTGTATTGTAATTTTCTTTTTAAAACTCAGTATCAAAGTGAAGGTATCAGTATCAGGACTGATATCGAAAGTGTTGGAATGATACCCAGCTCTATCTGTAACCCTTCTGTTCTGTCTGACTAGAGCCACTACAGAACATGTATATAACACCTGACACCTTTACTTTATCAGACAGATACTGTAAATCCAGCACTGTTACAGTGTCAGTGTTTAATTCTGTCAGTTTTCTGCCTTGTAGGAGGAACTCTCAGGTGTTAACAGAAGAGAACAAACTGATATGAACTTCTCGACCAGACCAGAAGAAGAGCTGACCCCAGAGAGCTTCAGCCGTTCTCTCAGAGATGTCTCACCTCCCTCAGCCTCCAGCGAAGACCTCGGCTCACCCTTGGGTGTCTCAGACCTCAGGGGCAGGCTTTACCACGAAATATCCACTTCTGGATCACCTTTCTCTGCCAGCAGATCAGCTCAGCGGAGCCTCTTCAGCTCCATCCTGGAAGTCCAGAGACTAAACCCTCCTCAGAGACCACGACTGACCTCCACTGTCCTGAATCCTACCTACAGCCCTCGCTCAGGGTACTCGAGGCCAGGCCAGATGGAGGGGAGAGGTAGGGGAGAGACCAGACAATGCTCTTCTGGAGGACACTCAAAAGGAGACTCCATGTCTCCCTACCAGGCAGACTACTGGGCCTGTGCCATCCCTAAAACCTTGCCTCCATCTCCAGACAGGCTCTCTGCAGGCTGGGACCCTAACAGGGAGTACCAGGCTTTGCTGGACTACACCTACCCCCTAAGACCAGGACAGGTGGTCAGTGAGTGGGACAGCTCTGAGCTCCAGGGAGACTCTGAGCTCCAGGGAGACTCTCTCCTGCAAACAGACCTGCAGGACTCAGGGATTGAACTGGACCAGCTTTGTAGCTCTACCAGCCTGTCAGGTTTGGACTTTTCTGTGAACGGTACAGGGCAAACCAGAGACAGAAGTCCTCTCTGTGTTGGTGATAGGTCACCTGACCCGCCAGGGTTCACCAGATCCTCAGATGGTCTGCCCTCCAGTACCCCGCTCTCCCTACCAGACCCTGTGGGTTTGTCCTTGAACAGTTTGGACTGCAGTCCGGACAGAGGTGGACTGGATCCTCACATGAGTGGTGATGATCACCGTCATCAGCACCGTGCACCATCCTCCTTCACCTCCACCTGTCTCTTTCCTCGGCCCAGGCGTGTGTGTGGGGTGGTGGACGAGGAGTTCAGGCCTCTTCCAGAGCAGCTGGAGGAGCTGCAGCTGCTGTCCAGACAGGTCAGTGCACCAGACACTCATAGACCACACTGGTGCTTTTGCATTCTGAAACCTATTCACTACAAATCACTCACAATATTGTATGAAACCCATTCACTACTAATCACTCATATGTATTATTACTGATCATTTTCCAATGAGAATGTTTTTAGATTGAATTAGGGCTGAACAAAGAATCGAAATATAATTGAAATGACAATATGGTTAAGTGCAATATCCAAATCACGGGAACTGCAATTTTTTGGTAAAGATGAAATGTGTCACAACTTATAAATGAAGCGTTGTGGTGGCACAGAGATGCCCCGGCCTACAAATCATATTCTCCAGACATTAGGGAACATACTTGTTTGGTACAAGCGCCAACAAAAGTCACATCATTGTCATTTTTATATTTATTTTCCAGTGAAAATGATATGGAAAAATGAGCGTTCCCAAGATAACAACATTGTGGCAATATGATTTTTGTTATGTATCGTTCAACCCTAGATTGAACTCATTTCACCTGCTGAGAAACTGTTGAAAGCAGCCATTTCTGCACAGTGAACAGTTCATTGCCTTCAATTACATCCTGTTATTGCAGTAACGAGAAGGCACTGCAGGCAAATATTGCATATTGTGTGTAAAGGATCATGTGAATTAGACTTTGGCCAAAATGTATTATCTTGATACAGTCCAGCTAAAATGTTGCGATATTCAATATTATCTAGGAGGGGTTTATGATATAATTATATTGTTGTATTTTATGTTTCAGATATAAGCAATGCTGCCACTAAACAGCAGTTCAAGGTTTTATTTGTCACATGCCAAAGTTCAATGTAGAGTAAACAAAGCAGTGCAAATTGCAAAAAAAAAAATTATTATTATGATAAATATTGCATATGGTGGGAAATAAAAAAACCTTTGACCACCAAATTTTAATCAGTTCATCTTTGAGTCCAAGTGAAGGCTCGTGCCAAATCTAAACAAATTCCCTAAAGGTGGTCCTGGGATATTTCACATTCAAGAGGCCAAAACACACAGTGACCTTGACCTTTGACCCAGTTCGTCCTTGAGTCCAAGTGAATATAGGCATTAAAACTAGCCTCACATCCCACAACAAGGAAACTGTGTCATCATCATCATCATCATCATCATCATTACATGGAATAAAACACATAACCATTCATTTCCAAACCTGTTGAGGATTACATCTAAGAGAGTAACAGAAAAGACTCTGAAAACTTCATGGTGTCAGTTAAAGATTTCAAAACTCACTGTTTCAAAGATCTGGGTCATGTTTGGATTAAAGAAACAGCGTCTGCAGAGGAAACATTCAGCAGGAGCAGCACAGATCAACAGACAGCTCTTACACAGAAGACCACTGCACCAAGGTCAAAGATGATGGAGGGACACACAGACAATGGATCAGTGTTTTTCAGCTTCTTTGTTCTCTACAGCTAAATACTGAAAGTATGTGGTCCCTCTGTGTAGGTGAGGGAGGTGACAGCCAAGCTGAGCCGGCCCATCACAGCCAGCTGGGAGTCTCTGGAGCCCAGAGCCACCTCCATCCTCTCCTCCATCACCCTGCCTGAGAAACAGGAGGCCGAAGACGAAGACAAGGAGGGGGGCAGTCAAGACACAGCTGAGGGAAAAGATGAGATGGACAGAGAGGAGAGGAGCACTGTTCGAACAGGTATCTAGTGTATAAGTGTACTGTTTTTATTTGTCCAGCTTCTGAGATATCTGTCTGTGAAACTTTTGTCTTTACAGAATAAAATTTAGTTGTGGCACTTACTGAAAAATTACATCTCAAAACTTCCATCCACCAGCAGCTGGTCATAGGGACTCTGAGGCAGTGAGGAGGACCTCTGGAGCCTTGGTGGAGCCTGTTGGAGGGGGACTGAGTCGGTCCAGTCTCAGGGAGGCGGAGGCTTTGGTGGAGCAGCTGCGTGGCCTCACCCTGCCTGGCAGCCAGGAAGACAGACAGCAAAGTGACTCTCTGATGAAGCACATCCAGGTAGAGACCTGATCTGTGCAGTGCAGTGTTATTATAAAAGACAGGATGATACAGTGGGACGCTGTCGTCATAGTGACACACAGTGTTCTGCTGGGTTTTAATTTGAATGCACGTTGTGATGTGACCACTAGATGTTGTGGATGTTTCAGGTCTTCTGTTCACATCTGGAGCAGCTGATCCAGCAGCTGTACACAGTGTCAGAGAAGATGGAGGTGCTGGCTGCACCCACTGCAGACATCGAAAGTGTGAAGTCGTCTCTGGCTGAGTATCAGGTAAGAACTGAGCCTCAACACCCTCTTATCCTCCAGACTGATGCAGACTGATACAGACTGATGCAGACTGATGCAGACTGACTGATGCAGACTGATACAGACTGATGCAGTCTGATGCAGACTGATGCAGACTGACTGATGCAGACTGATACAGACTGATGCAGACTGATGCAGACTGATGCAGACTGATGCAGACTGACTGATGCAGACTGATGCAGACTGATGCAGACGACTGATGCAGACTGATACAGACTGATGCAGGCTGATGCAGACTAATGCAGACTGATGCAGACTGACTGATGCAGACTGATGCAGACTGATACAGACTGATGCAGACTGATGCAGGCTGATGCACACTAATGCAGACTGATGCAGACTGATGCAGACTGATGCAGACTAATGCAGACTGATGCAGACTGATGCAGACTGATGCAGAATAATCCAGACTGATTCAGACTGATTCAGACTGATGCAGACTGATGCAGGCTGATGCAGACTGATGCAGGCTGATGCAGACTGATGCAGGCTGATACAGACTGATACAGACTAATGCAGACTGATGCAGTCTGACTGATGCAGACTGATACAGACTAATGCAGACTGATGCAGAATAATCCAGAATAATCCAGACTGATGCAGACTAATGCGGACTGATACAGACTGATGGTAGATGGTAAAAGTTGAGGATGTTTGTGGCCTGACTCCACAACCACAACTAATCTGAGGACTCACCTGCTGCTGCAGTACAGGTGAGTTCAGTTAATACGAGTTCTTGTTTATTAGATATGAAGATTAAAATATATGAAAATATTCAAACAATTCTCCCTTTTGATGCCTAAACAAAAAAAAACAGAAAAACTGAGTCTGTTATCCAGACTGCATGAAATCATTGAATGAACAGATTCACTGTGGTGCAGTGATGTGGGTCAACAGCCATAATCCGCCCTGAAACAAAACCAGGTGTTGTTTTTGAAATTCAGTGACAGGTAATCAATCACACAGATAATCTCCTTTCCTAACCACTTCTCCTCGACCTCGATGAAAAACGTTGAGGTCAGATGATGTGAAGGAGAATTCAAAAGACAAGGGAATCTGACTGCACTTACACTAGGCTTTTTTCTTTCTCTTTTTTCAAACCAACTTTATTTACAAAACACAAAAACAAAGCAAACAGGGTTGAAATGTTGAAATAAGATAACATGAAAGAGAAAGTTGAGCAAAATAATACTTAAGTACATGTTACTTAATATGAGTTTTTATATATACCGAAGGGGGGTGAAACAACATTTACAGTATAAAGTTAACTTTATAATTTACTAGAGATTCAAAATGCTTTTTCCTCATGATGACTCCTGACTGGATTTGAAAGAAAAGAAATCAATATTTATGGATTTGGAGCTCAGCCAAAGAATTGTGGGACAGCATTTCTCCTTTCCTTTCCTAAAGGAAGGTCCAGTGTTTCCTCTGCTAAAGGAGATAAGATAGGAAGCACTGAAGCTCCTTTCCTCACGTAGAGAAGTGGAGCAGCTGTGATCATGGTGCTGCTCAGAGACTTCAGCTCATTTATCTCAGTTTCAACCTTCATAAGAACAAAAAGACTTTTCAACCAAAGCCTAAGAGTCTCACATGTCTGGATGTAGACCTGGAGCATCAGCACTAATGATGAAGCACTATCAAGAAGGGAAAACAGAGAAAACACTAGCGGAGATGGTGTAACTAGAGAAAGAAAATCTTACTGTGTGTGACAGATCAGCATACCGAGCCCCACTTTATAACTTCATACACTCGGTGGTTACTCACTTGATGCACGCTGTGTGATACTGACATCATGTGACGGTCTTGTTGTCAGAGTTTTCAGAGAGCGGTGAGCAGCCATCAGCCCCTGACCTCCTGTGTCCTGCACAGCGGACATCTTCTGCTCAGCTGCATCAACACCACGTCTCCACGTCAGTCCGACACATCGTCACAACATCATCACCCACAACTCAAATCAAAAGCAACACGTTCATCTCATCATTCTTCCTCTGAAGTCTGTTTGTGTTCTCTCTCCTGGTGTCTAGTTTTAAGAGACACCCTGCAGCTGATCGAGAGGCAGTCTGGAGCTCTGCACACCTACACCGAACACCTGTTCTCCTCCATCCTGTCAGCCATGGACAGCCTGACCCAGCCCAGTCTGCCCAGTCCGGTCCAGCAGAGCAGAGAGGAGGACCCACGCCCTGTGGGGCTGCAGGGGTCCATTTTGTAAACAGACTTCAGGACACGTCTGTGATTTATTTCACTTATTTTTGGCCTCTGATTGCTTACTTATTAAAACCAATTCTGGTCTTTGATACAACAATCTTATTTAGGGATTCTCAAAAAGCACAAGTGACTTTTTTTCTACATGTTAGCATGTTGGCTATGAACGATAACAAGCTGTGGAGCAAGATGTCCAAAGATGTTCATGAAGGAAACAGGGTGTGATGTCTAAAGTGAACTGATCACATTGACTAATACAGGAAGTACTGTCTGAAGAATTACATGTTTTTATCATAATATTGCACTACTTTTTCTACTCATACTCACTGTCACTGTTGTATTTTACAAGACTTAACCCTCCTCTGATCACTTGAAGTGCCTCTGTAGCCACAATACTAGAAACACATGAAGGATGGTCAGAGTACTACACTGTGTCTGCTGTTACTGCTGCACAGGAAGAACAAACAACAGCTAAACCCTCTCTAAGTCTGACTGTGAGCAATTCAGTCAATGTACCAGCAATTTAAACGCTTTTCTAAATGGACTCACTGAATTTGAATTTAAAAAACTCAGTAATAATACAAAGGTCATTGAACTGTTTTTAAGGGAACCTTAAGGAGAAGAGTTAAAGGTGTTTTGTACAACTGTTTTTATTTCAAGGAAATGTCAACTTGGACTTGGAACAGTTAGTGTGTTGGTCCAGCCCAGTTATGCAGATCATACAGAGAGAGATAATGCAGCTTTTTACATGATGCATTTATCTCTCATTTCTCCTTTTAAAGCCAGAGCTCTGACATACAGCCACCAGCTGAGGCTGTGATGGCGGTGGAGATGGTTGTTGCTCCAGCTACAGCTGCTGCTGTGGTCGAATCTGATGCTGATTTGAACCCGTGGTGCTTCTGTCAGATATGACAGATGACAGATGTTACCACCATGAGTTGAAGAATACAGTAGCTTCAATATAATGGTCATCCAGCACAGCCACACCAATCCCTTAAACTACCTGTACACCTAAAATACAGTGGCAAGCAAGAAACACACAACACAGCATCAGTCAGTGTTCCCCACAGTGTGTCATACAAGCAGTGGCAGCGCAAAATTCAACCAGAAATTCATTGTCCCAGTCAACCCAACACTAGAGTCAGTCTCTCAGTCAGAGTCAGGTTTCCTGCTCAGTCAGAGGTTTCTTGGTCTCTCTGAAGTGTGTCAGAGAAACCCCCTGTCAATGTTAAACTAAGAAACTATAAACTAATGTGTCACAGCCAGAATCGTAACAGAGCATCTGTAGTCATAATCACAGCTACAGTCTCATCAGTTGGACTCAGCTCCACTGAAAAGCAGCAACTTTTTAACTGTTAAGTTTCATTTAGTGACTGAATCATCAGGTCGTCATTTAAAGACAAAGCAAGGAGACAGAATTAGTCATTTTAATATATTTTTTTACTTCACATTTATTGATGTCATGTCAAGTCAATTTTTATTTGTATAGCACCAATTTTACAACAGAAGTTATCTCAAGGCGTTTTCCAAATAGAACAGGTCTAGACCTTCACTTTATAATATTACTTACAGACCCAACAATTCCCACCAAGAGCTGCACTAGGCGACAGTGGCAAGGAAAGTCTTCCTTTTAAGAGGCAGAAACCCCAACAGAACTGGACTCAGGGTGGGCGGAGCCATCTGCCCTCGACCGGTTGGGTTCATAAATGATGCATCATTTATGAATAAAGTGAACCAATATCTAATAGCTGTTTTGAAGAAGGTCAATTCCTGGCACAATAGTGAGATGTCAGAAAGTTGCGTAGAAAGTTGCATTGTGTCCGGCCTTCACTCCATTCTGACCTGTGATCAGCTGGTGGACAGTCAGACACCATGTACTGTACTGTGGGACATTGCTACTTGCACTATGATCTGAGTTTCTTACAGGGTCTCACGGCTTTAACAGGACAGCTGGTCCAACCTACACACACAGCCTTAAAACATTTTTGATGTCATTCACTTGTTGTGTGTTAACGAGTATGGTAAAGGGTCAGTTCACCCAAATTACACAAGAAGTCATTTTCTCTGTTCTCTCCAGTCAGATAGTTGTAGTTTTGTGTGTCTCCATCCACAATCTGTGAATTACTTCTGTCACTAGTTTTCATTGGACCTACTTTCTTCCTCAGATACACTATCATCCTCAGAGACACAGACATGGTCATTTTGTCATTTGGGTGAACTTACTGTATCCTCTTAAAAAGCTCAAACCTTTCACTATACTGTCACTCAATTAAAGTCACTGAATAAACCTGGATGTGGTTTTAGTCTCTGTGTTCACATCATTCAATCAGGTCCGACTCGTCTATGATTCAAAGGCTCTGGCATAGACTCCATTTTGGGCTAATGAGGGAAACAGCTGCTGCCTGATGCTGCTGGTGGTGTTGGGGATGGAGGATACTGTCATGGACCGGAGGCAGATACAGGACCAGTTCCTGGGAGTGTGGAAAGTGCACAAGGTTGGTTCCTGCATTCATGTACCAAGAAGAGAGGGATAACGTTCTGACTGGACCATTCAAACCCAGAGAGGGATGTATGGAGCTAATCAGGAAGTTCTGAATGACACTCAACCCACATATACACCGTCCTGCAGACACAAGAGCTCAGAGCACCAAACGGAGTATTTCCTCGGCTAAAATTCAGACTTCTTCTCATAGCTTTGTTCTCCAGTTCATTTCTGAGCTGCTCGCTGACTCCAGTTCAGTCAGAGCTCTCAGGCCATCAGGTGGTGGTTTTCTGTCTTTCTTATACCCCCCCCCCCCCCCACATTTTTCTAGTCCCTCCTTCAGCCCTTGGTATTTTATAGCTTCTTGTGTTCCTTCTTCCTGATGTTGCTGTCGCTAGGGATTGCTACATCTTTCACCACTGCCTTCTTCTGCTGTTTGTGGATCAACACCATGTCCGGTTGGTTATCCATCACCAGTTTGTAGGTCTGGATCTGGAAGTCCCACAGGATCTTAGCTCGGTCATTCTCAACCACCTCAGGAGGTGTCTTCCTGATGTATTCCTGGATCTTAGTTGTTTTTTCCTGGACAGTGGCTCAGACACTCACCATATGTATATAGTATATGTATGTATGTATGTATATATGTATGTATATATGTGTGTGTGTGTATGTGTGTGTAGCTGCAGCCATTATGGAGTTGATGTTGTTTAAACATGTGTGTGTTGTCTTGTTCACTGTTTATATATTGTCAGTCATTTTGTTCATTGTCAGTTTTGTGCTCTTGTTTCTGGATCATTCTGGCGGAGCTGCACTGACGGAGGATAAACCGGCTCTGTGGAGCTGGATCTTAGATCCTCAGCACTGAGCTTCACTCTCCGTTGCTGCTGTTGCAGTTTGTGCTGGTTGCCAACAGAGGTTGATAAAGGTCATTCTGACCACATTCTGTAAAACAGGAATGACTGTTGTTTCTCCATGTACAATGTAAACACTCCTGTCTTTCTTTTTCTCTCCCATTTTCACCTTTTCCCTCATTAGATTTTCATTTCTACCATTTTTTGTTTTGTGTTTGTGATTTATGCAACATGGATGCTTCCACTAAAGTATCTGTCTGATCCTTTTTAAAGTAAGCTACTCATAACACACCTACTCTCCATCCATCCATCCATTTTATGTCACTTATCTGGTCATTTATGTGGACACTTATCTATGGCAGCAGGCTGAGCAAGTTAGTCCAGATGTCCCACTCCCCAGCAACATTTCCCAGAACCTCCAGGGGGATCCTGCAGTGTGTGTGTACTGCCGGAGTATGGCCCCTAGTACACTGCTGCAGTAACCCCTAAAAGACTGCCAGAGGGACACAGTCATAAACCTTCTCCAAGTCCACAAAATGATGATGCCTTTAGAACCCTGCAATGTTAAAGAATTGACCCAGTGTTATACGATCAGGACAGAATCTGCGTTGCTCCTCCTGGATCTGAGGTTCAACAAGCAGTCAGAGCCTCCTTTCCAGCAGCTTTCACAGGGCTCAATCAGCAATCAGTGTAACACCACACTAATTGCAGCACACCCCCTGACCCCCCATGTTTAAAATACAAACCACCAGCCTGGTCTGCCAGTCCACAGGCACTATCCCTGACCTCCACGCAACACTGAAGAGGCCCAACAATATCCAGAGACCTTCAGCATCACAGGTCAAATCTGCCCCTTCATAGAGGACATGTTAATCAGGACCAGGAGCTTCTCTTAAGTTCTCTTTCCACCACACAACAATAAACCCAGTCCAGGTCAACAGTTGTCTTCTCTCCTGAACACAGCTTGGGCCAAGCCCTGCTTTCCCTTCCTGTGTCGTCTGATGGTTGGCCAGAACTTCCTTGAGGCCAACAGAAAGTCCTCCACAGCCTCCCTGAACTCCTCCCACAGCTGAGTTTTTGTTTCTGCAACCACCGCAGCCTCAGCCCTGCTGGACCTCTGGTGCACATCTGCTGCTTCAGGAGACCCCTGGATGAACAAGAAATTCTTCCAGAAGTGGGATTGAAGAGCCTCAGCCAGACATATGGCCAGAGATCTGGGATCAGTATGACAAAGATATTTCAGACTGGTCTGTAGTTTTGGTCCAGTCTTCATTTTGCTCACAGAGCACAGATCACGCCTAAGACCAATGCTACCATGGTAACAATCAATGACACCTGCACTGAGCAGTAGCACTCAACAAGAAAATACAGGAAAACATTGCTCACAATGTGTGGTTTGCTAACATTGTTATGGAGAGAGCAGTGAGAAGGGAAAGAGTTCATTTCATTGTTTCACTCTTCACTGAATTTCCAAGGTGAAATGTTGTAACTGTTGAATTCTTCCAAAAGAGGAACATTTCCTGCTGGGGTAAACAGAGCTCAGCAGCTGGATGCTATTTCTTAGTCAGCCACATTTATTATAATATGATTTAATCCAGTGTACCACAGTGTGGTTTAAGATAGTCAAGAACTAAACTGCTTTGTGCAACAGAGGAATTTAGACTCAGTTTCTCTGACTGTTTGTTCTATCAAGCCACAGTCTGTCATCAGTGTTCTGTGTTCTGGTACCAAGTGCACTTATGAATCACCCTGTGCGGGTACATGATGTTTGTTATGGCCAATCCACAGCTACCACATACGTCCAATAACAAAGCAGCACTCAGGTGCAGATCACGCAGTGCTGTTCTTCCCAATCAACCCCCTCCAGGTTTCTTTTCCTTTGCCCATGTGAGTGTTGAAGTCCCCCCAGTAGACCCACAGAGTCCCTAGGTGGTTTCCTGTCACCCACCAACTACCCATCCTCCAGAAAATGCTGGATACTCTGAGCTGCTGTTTGGTGCGTAGGCACAAACAACAGTTTGAACCTGCTATGTGTGGAAGTGAATCACAGTTTATCTACTGGTACTGGTTGGTCCTGCTCCACCTCCACACACTAGCCCTGGTTCCTTCCTTCCAGAGAGGTGACATTCCACGTCCCTTGAACCAGTCTGTGATGCTGAACATCAGCACACCTAGGTCCCTGCCTTTGTCTGACACAGGGGTAAGCCACACTTGTTTTACAGGTTTCTGGAGGGTCAGTGCGTTCCTGTTTGGTGACGTGTCCCATGCAACATTTTTTTAAAAGTAATTTTTGGGGCATTTTTGCCTTTATTCGTTGAGAGATAGACAGGAAAGTCTGCAGCTAGGACCAAGCCTACGTGGTACACACTCTACCAGGTGAACCACCGGGGCGCCCGCCCCATGCAACATTTAACACATCATGTTTTAGAGAACTGCTGGCTCAGACACTTCCTCTCTCCTGACGATAAGTGACGCAGAATGATTCAGGCTGTTCCTCTGGTCAGCTGCTGAACTCTGTGGGATTTCCTGTGAAATCTGCTGACTCGTGTTGGAGCAGAAACTAGGCCAGACTCCAGCATTTTTACAACTGAGGTTAACTGGCTAATGAGTATGTCCAACTACACACATGTATGGCCATTGTGTTGTGTGACCTGACCTTCGTACGCAACCACACAATGGAGCACTGTTCTTATCCATACAGCAAACACTGGTCCCAGAGTTCCTTTAAAACTGAATTCAGTTGCCTTTATTAAGAAAACAAGAGAACATTGTATTTTATATATGCAATTCTGTACTGAGATCACACAGCAATTTGCAAACAGACCCCATGTAACTGGCAGTAGATATGCCAAATGAATGCAGAATAAATAATTCAAACAGGTAATCTACACAGACAGCGCCTCCCATTTCATACAGTCTGGTAGTACAATATTTATTTTAAGTTGAAGTGTTACATGTTGAGCAACAAACTTACAGTTGTCTTCAGCCACAGATTTAATGCAGAGAAAAAGAGTCAAGACTATCCCAATAATGTATTGAACACTACAGAACTAGCAAATCAGATCTTACATATATATATATACATATTGTTTATGTACATATACTGTTGCACTAGACTTTAGATGCTGGACAGTGAGACACTGCTGTGCAGAGGTTGATGAGAAAAATAAAAAAACACCTTCAAATGAGAGACAGACAGACAGACTGACTGACACATGGTGATATAAACAGCAACATAATCACAGAGGGAAAAGAGAAACAGAAAAGATCTATACAAACAGAAACCTTAATGAAACCGATTCATTTACCAACCCAGCTGTAGGAATGCAGAGAAACACACACACACTCTCTCTCTCTCTCGCTCTCTCTCTCACACACACTCCTCTCATGAACCTGCATTCAGAGGGCCAAATAAAAGTAGTCTCTGAGAGGTCTGAGATGGGGTGGGGTGGGGTTGGGGGTCAGGGCTGGGTCATCAATAACAGGACAGTATGACAAGAAGGATGCTTTATTTGTTTTTGGTAGTGCGGCTACAGTATGTACAGTACAAATACAGGCAACTTCATCTTGTTCTCACATACACATTGTGAATCATGTCTTCCCTGTCCTGTCTGGTTGTTGGAGGGTGGGTGGGGTGGGGGGGTTTTACTGGGACACAGTGGAGTTTAGAGGAGGTTGGCGGCCGGGTTGGGGTGTAGGGGTGTTCAAAGTGGAAGTGGTTTTTCTCTCAGCAGCATCCTCCTGATGAAGGCTTGACAGTAGTGCCGGGGGTCAGCTTCACGTTGGGCTTTTCCCCTCCTCCGGCTGTCGCCCCAGGGCCCATCCTCTTCTTGATCTCAGCAGCCATCGTCATGAAGGCCTGCTCCACATTGGTGGCATTCTTGGCGCTGGTTTCCAAAAAGGGGATGCCCAGAGAGTCTGCAAACTCCTGGATAAACACGAGGGACAGAGGACACAGGTTTACGCATCTCCTAAATTTAATAGTGCAAAGTAACTGCAGCAAAAGTGGATGAGAAAGAGCTGGTACACACAAAAAAGATGTCATGTTGATCATGTGGGTTACAGGATGTAATGAGGCTCAATGTGAACACTGTGGGATGATGTAGAGGTTAACCCTGAGGTTAGCTACGACCTCAGCCTGTAGCTGTAAGTCTCATCTGAGCAGGTTGTTTCAGACACAGCAGTCTGCTACACAAGTTTGTTAAAATAATGTCACTCTGTTCACTAAAACATCCTGCTGGTGGAATAGGGTTGTTATTATTAAGATCTTAATATTTTTAATATTTTTTTTTTAACTGTTGCATATTGTAATTTGATTTTCGTACTTTAGCAAATAAAAGTAAGAACGTTTAACTACTGAACGTTAAATATTACTATCATAATCCATGATTTTCTACTTATTTTCAGTAAAAAGAGTTAATAAGAGTTCCTCTGTGAAGACACAAGAGAATCTTGTGCACCAGGTTTATGTAATAAAGTGTGATTTATCATTACTGAGGTAACTGTGAAAAATGTTTGTTATTGATTCTAGGTGATACTGCTGATGTGCAGTATGTAACTGACACAGTGATGTGGAAAGTTGAAGCCTGAGAATGGACTGTTGAGTAAAGTAGGAGACATCTTGTGTCCAAGATCAACTACTTGCATATTTATAGATACTGAATCTAAGAGAGAGGGAGATGACACAGAACTGCACCGTCTCCATTTATAGACAGTTTGGCTGACTGTGGAGTGATGAATATCTAAACTCTGACTTTACACTTCCAACTTAATGCAAATCAGCAATTCTTGACCTTAAATCTTATGAGTTTTCTTTTTTGTAAGTCAGTCCAACTTTACATAATGACTGGGTCAGGTGTGTGAGGGGAGAGTAGAGGAGGTTTCAGCTTCTTTCTCAAGCTCTTTTTCATTCTTGACAAAACCACTTCTGTCACTGTTCATTGGTTAACTTCTGGGTTAACTTAACGCTTTCTACACTAAATAAGCACGTATGAGCAGGTTTTTTTAAACACAGGTAAACACACTAAAAAAGGCAATTGACTCCTTTCACACTGTCAAGAGTTTGTCTTTCTGTTCAGACTGAGAGGACACAGGCGCACAACTGCAGGGAGCAACATCATCACATGCAGTTACAGAGCACACATACACACACACAGACACAGGGGAGAATGAGTGAGCTGCTAGCTGCCTGCAGACAAGTAAAATGGATCAGTCGCGTCTCATCCCCGGGCTGTTGCTTCTGTCAGTGTCAGAGCCTCTGTGTGAGACGCTTCCATCTGTGACTGTGTTTTTAAAAACTTATTTTGGGGCTGCAGCTCACACTTTCATCTGCGAGTGCAGTGTAGCTGTGGTGCTTCTGGTGTAACAGCACTATGCTGGACAGGTGATGGGCGTGTTTACAGTGTCTGTGCTCTGAGAAACGTTAACAACAGGAAAAGGGGCGAAAATTAGGGAATTCACCCCAGTGTAATGTTTACGTCACTGCCAATAAATACCCCGCGACTACTGCAGAGTCATTTGACCTGGGTGTGAATGCTGATTGTTCCCTTTCACACCGACAACATCAGCCAGATGTTAGTGGGTGTTAGGGGTTTTTTTTGTCTAATGTAAAAGGGGCTTTAGTGCAACATCACAAGTGTCTGGATGGATGACAACACCCTGCTTTCCACTGAGGCCATTCAGAACAAGAACAAGTAGAAGTACTTCATTTGTTGCATGCTGAAGCCTTGAGGTGAATACTAAGTGAAAAGAATTTGTTTGTACTGCTAAAAGCACAAAAACATTTGAAAAACTCACCAGTTATCTCTTAAATTGTTTCTACTCCATTTTGCTACTATATATCTACTGTGATGTAGATACAACCTGGCTCATAGCTAGACCTGTTCCTGGCTTTCCCTCCAGGCCCTCAGCTGGGAGCAGCCTTGTCCGAGTCTGTTTCGGTTTCTCATTCTAAAAGGATTTTAAGTGTTAAGGGTAAGCCATCTACAGCCATCTTAACTAAGACACCTTTCAGTAATTTCCTGAACGACACAGCACAGAAAATAAGATCTATTTTAAATACAGAAGCCACTGTAGCATGAAAAAGATGACATGCAACAGCTTGTGTGTGAGTGAAAACACCCAGGTGCCTTACCTTTGCTGTTGTGTAGTCCACCACCTTCTTTGTCGTCAGGTCACACTTGTTCCCGACCAAAAGCTTGTTGACATTTTCACTGGCATAGCGGTCAATCTCCTGTAGCCACTGTTTGACATTGTTGAAGGACTCCTGAGGCAGGAAACAGATTAGCATTAGCACTGAGCTAAAATCTGATACTACAGGACCTCAGCAGCCTTGACAGAGGCAAAATTAAGCCTTAATGCAATATGGATGTGTTCTTAAGACCAGTGTGCGCTGCTCTTAAAAACACTGTGCTGACAGGAAGTCAGTTTGAAACATTGCACGGCTAGAACACGATATAAGAGCAAATCAAAAGGCACGGTGGAGTGATGTTTCAGCTGTTGAACTTTGAGCACTACACAGAAGCTATGGATCCATTCACAGGTCACATGCTTGAATACAGAGGACTTCAGTTTTGCATTTAATGAGGCCAAGTGGGTCTAGTTCCTCATTTCTCTGTCCTCTGAACATACAGAGGACAGTGTGGCTGCAGCATGGACTCTGTTCACAGCTGCTCACAACTGTTTCTAACTAATGTAATCTACATAAGGCACTGTCCATGTTACGTACAGTGCATCTAATGTATATCTGCCCTCTGGTTAGGACATGGTATAAAGTCCACAGCAGATGATTACATGCAGAAAACCAGTTACTAACAGACTTAAATGGGTAGACCACATTATATGTGTCAAACCCACGTAGACAGTCCTGCTGAGGCCTTCTTAGGTGTGAAGAATGGTAATGTATATCATTTTATTTAAACTAAACCATCACCACCACATGGTTTCAAGAGGATCCTCACCTGGAACTATAACTATTTCCTGATGTTTAAAGACTACTTGTGCATCAGTTGAGATTTTGCCCAGGGACCCAGAGGACACAATGTATTTTCTGAGCTACCATGAGACTGCATGTATGGACCATGCTCAGAAAACACTGGGAGAAACACAGGTGGTCAGGTTATAGACACTTCAATCCTTTATATCTAAATGTTATTTTGGGTTTTTCATTTTAATTTAGAGCACGTGTGCTATCAAACACCTGCTGAGCAAAAGAAAGTCTCATTCCTGTGAAAACATAGAGCCCAGAGGGCAACCTTAACACAGATGTATTCCTGGCCAAATATAGACCTGACATCAGGTCACATTATTTCTAGTGCAGCAACAACACACCCTGATAGCACACAACGTTTCAGTGGTCCACAACATCAACAGTAAACATCAGTTTGTTTCTCTGACTCAAGTAGTTCTTGTGCAACACTTCCACTTTGACCAGCAATCAAAGATCATACAGTGTGAAATCCACTGAGTAAGAGGAAGATGGACTCATTTCCCCTCATCACAGGCCAGAGAACAAGGATTCAGTAAGGTGAACACTGGTTTCTCACTCAAATAGAAAGAATTTCCTTGGTCTTTTACACTTCTATATCTGCACACAACACCAGACATCCAACCAACAGACATCCAGCTCTGACTGAAAGCAACAAACAGGCTCCTCTTTGCTGGGGGGTTTAGAGGATCTAATACTGTGATCTAAGAGGGGTCCAGAGAGACCTCAGCAACATGAGGAATGGTTCTTTCTCTGCATTGCAGTGTATGAGAAACAAGCCAATCCAACTATGTCTTGTCACGGTGCGAAGTTCAACCATTAATAAACAGATAAACGTGTCTTCCTGAGGTACAATCTCATCTGTTAGTGTATCAATGAATACGTTGTGGTAGGTATGAAAGGTGTGATGTTATACTGACCTGGTCTGTGACATCGTACACTACAATGATACCATGAGCACCTCTGTAGTAGCTGGATGTGATTGTACGAAACCTCTCCTGGCCCGCTGTATCCCACTGTCAAAGGAAAAACACGAATACAACCTTTTAAACAAAGGATTAAATAAAAATAAAAAAAACAACAAATTATTGATTAACTGCTTCATTTATTTTTTTAAGAAAAATTGAGAAACAAGTCCAAGTGTTCTGTGATTCCAGCCTCTCAAACAAAGGGTTTCCTGCTATTCTTTGTCATATATAATTGTAAACGAAACATTTAATGGGTATTTGGACATCTGCCCAAACCAAACATTTGAAGATGTCACATTTGGCTCTGCAAAGCTCAGACTTATCTGAGCACTTGAAAATAAAAAATGGCAGATCAATCCATAATGAAAATAATCGTTAATTGCAGCACTACTATTTGTATTTAAAAAAGCTGCTGATATTCTATATTTTTATTCTTGTCAACAAATCCCAAGAGCAGACTAAAACCAACACTGAATGTCTCCTACACACAAGAACTGTGTGTGTATCAAAACCTGATATATCTCATTCCTCAGTGCTATAGAGCTCCATTAATGCCCAAACACTAAACACATCAGTGAGCCACACTGTTGCACTGGGTGACATGTCCCTTCATCACCATGAACACACACACACACACACACACACACACACACAAACACTGTAGTTTATTTTGACTCAGTCCGACATACACCTTCCAGCTGCCCCAAATACTCACTACAGCACCAAGTGAGTTACTTACAATCTGAAGTTTAATGGTCTTTCCATCCAGCTCTATGGTTCGTATTTTGAAATCCACACCAATAGTGCTAATGTAACTTTCCGTGTATGTGTCATCCTGCAGAGAGAAACAGAGTCAGTTAGATCGTTCACACAACCTGTTCACTTCCTGCTTCACTACACATAAACAGTACCATCAGTCATTACTAGCACAGGGTGTTGGTAAGTGAACTTTTTCAGTAGTAAACAAATTGGAGCATATTACACTGTGAATGAAATGAGTTACAGACACATGTACACATCATATCCTGTTAACAGTAAGTTTCTAATTGAGTTCATAAGGAACCCAGTTAAGATTGCTAAGATACATTGTTGTCCAACTTCAGTTTGCATGAAATCACTGCATAATAAACCTTGAAATACTGTTCAACTGACTCCTGCTCAAGCAGAAAATTGAGTTAACATAAAGACAGTGTATCTGCTACTTTGGGGAAACTTACTGCGAATCGGAGAAGAAGGCAAGACTTTCCAACACCAGAGTCACCAATCAGGAGCAGCTTGAATAAATAGTCACTGTGAGGGAAGAATGAAAACACACTAGTTAGAGGACATTCAGAAATGGTTAACCAAGTAAGTGTGTTACAGATTACCCATTTAAATAAATAAATGGCTATGATAGTGATGGCCTGCACACACTCAAGTCTGATTCAAGATCTCAGGTTGATTCTTTAGAACAGTCAAGGGGTATTTACCTCAAAAACATCAGTTTGAGTTGCAAATATGCACATGCATGCAAATATGCTGATCAGAATATGATGATCTTAGTGTCATTACATCATTTGGCAGAGTGACTGGAAGGTCTGCAATTTACAAGAAAAGGAAACACTGAGGACAATGAACCCTGCTGAGCTCAGCTACATTTTCCGAAGGACTTGCAGGAAGCTGGTTGATCATGTGATTGGACATATAACGCCAACTGAAAGCAGAGCAGAGGAGTACTCTTTTCTTAGTATGTTGTACCTCTCTACCCCAGTTCTGAGGTTAGTCTAATTCATGCTTACTACAAATGCAAAACAATCACAAAGAGACTTGAAATAACCACAAAACTACAAAGATGCTTGAAATGACCACAAAGAGACACAGATCAACCACAAAGAGACACAGAACAACCACATAGAGACACAAAACTACTCTAAAAAGACACAACACTACTACAAAGAGACACACAATAAAGATTAAGATTCGGCACAATAAAACAGAGATTTGAAACACAAAGAGATGCAAAACTACTACAAAGAAACTTGATACGACCACATAGACAAAAAACAACGACAAAGAGACACAAACTTTCTAAAAAGAGACACAAAACTACGACAAAGAGACACAAAAAAGCGAAAAGAGACTCAAAACAACCACAAAGGGAAACTACTTTTGTAGTAACGACAATTGTTGTAGTCTCATTTTGTCTCTCATTCAGTCAGGGTGTCTTATATAGTAGAAGGGAGTGACCTTTCACCTGCTAAGGGGCCCATTATATCATAATCTGTCCATGGCTGATAAAAAAGCTCAGTTGTGCCTGCTACTGAGTAGGAACTTCATCTGGATTTTAACCACAGAAACCTAGTTCTACTTTTGGTTCCTGGGCAAGACCTCCTGCCCCCCTCTGCAAAAGTCCCTGCTCCGAAGGTGGTACTTTCCTATGACCCAGACACAACTGTATCAGGGTGGAGTTAGTAGAACTGAAGACCACACTGAACACCACAGGACAGCAGAAGCACCAGTTACTGCTAGCATTAACAGGATTTAGGATGGCACTTCTGTACATTATTGCTGTTGAAATGGAAACTACTGAGCTGACTTCCTTACTAGTTCTTAAAAAAAAAAAAGCATTGAGTCATCTAGAAAAGAAAAAAATAATCAAACTAAAACTTGCTTTGCTCATTGTTTCACAGTGGCTCCTCGCAAAAACCTTCTGACATTGATGTAAATATCTGGCGCACAAATGTGTGGGCTCTTATTTTCTACCAAGCTGCTACTATGCTTCTCAGTTCTTTATATTGAGAGTGAAGGAACTTTTAGTCCCAGGGATCATGTAGTCTGTTTTTGTAGTGTACTCTGGTATGTGCTTTACAGATACTCACTTTTCACTCTCAAAGAGTATTGTTGGGGGCCAATTACATACTATGGGGTGGGCTTTCAGCTATTACATTAATCCTGCCCAACAATCCACCTTAACTCTATGATTCAACACGGCAAGTCTAGGCAGCCTGCAGCCAACATACAGGTCTAAACTACATCCTGCACCACTTACAATTACACTCGCATAAAATTAGGCAATATAATGATTATCCTTCACCTCCCCATAAAACATGCACACACACAGACCAATACCCATGCATGCAGATATACAAACTTCAGACAAACCACTTTGTCTGTCTTATATTCAGTTTGTCTGAGACCTGCTAGTGTTAAACCTTTTTCTGTGTCTTAGATTTCCTGCTGACCCTTTGCAGCACCACACTCCTAATAAGGCTGAGAAAGAAGGCTAAGCAGAAATCCAGTGGCATGGCAAAATAACAAACAGTACACTTTTCTTTCAATTTCAAGGACTTCTCCTGCATGTTATGGTCCCGAGGTGTGAAACCCCTGAGCAAGGACACAGACTTCTTGATTTGTTGTATATGATTATGTGCTTCCCTCTGGTTTCAGTACAATGCTGGTGCCATGGTTAAAAATACATCCCACTTGTCTTATTAACACACAGCCTAAAATGTAACCTGTCTGATAGTGGTAAAAACCCCAAACTAACAAAGTATAGTAATATAAACCCACTGATATTCCATCAGTAGCATCAGTAGAGGGAAAGCGGTGTCTCACACATCAGCTGAGCCTGGTAGTATCCTGCCTCCCAGGACCGTCTCAGTTTCTCCTTCTCATTGTAATAAAATCCAGTCATTCCCTTTTCATTAAGCCTGTGACTGTGGACAATGGCTGTCCTTATGCGAGGTTGACCACTCACTGCTCAACACAACTCTGACAATAACACAAAAGTTGAGTAACAAGAGTATGAAAAAAATCTAGGATTCAAACTAGGTAAAGGTTGTTACCTTACTTAACACAACATGTTTATCTGACATTAAACCTGCAAAGTCCAAAAAACTTCATTGGTCTATTCACCATGGTTCAACAGAAAAATCCAAATATACCATTGATAAGTGTCAAAATGTGCAATTCATAAATTCCTACTGTCATTTTAACTAAAGGTGTGGTATTCAGCAGACTGAATTAAAAGGTACACCATAATGTGGGGTAAAGATGCCTCCCTTTCATTCTGACACTGACTCTGTGAGTGTCTTGGACCTTGCCTCTGAGTATCTGGTCCATACCAAGGAGGTGAATCATTAATACAGGATTAAGCAGTGTACAGAGAGGAACGTGAATTAAATTTCACCATTTTGCATGATAACGTTAAAAAATATGTCAAATAAATAAATGGCTGCAGTCCAGAAATTCTGCCATCCACCCATGAGAACATTTCTGAATGGGAAAACCAAAGCCAGAGAAAGAAAGCTTAAGTAAGTGATTGCTCAACACTGCTGTGGTGAAACCAGGGGCTTGTCCTGTGGCATGTGACCTACACATGACTGCTTCTGCGCTACTAGACCATCTGACTGAAAACTGAGTCATGGTCAACACCAGGTAAAGCGTACAACCAGTTACCTGGGCGTAAACAACAGATGACGGTTGCTACATTGTCTGAGTGCGATCAATAACAAGGTTAAATATGTGGGATATCACGATGACACACACAGACAACCTGATAGTTATAATCATCGGCTGTCTACAAATATAATAAATGGATTATGATTATTATGATTTTAGCGAGCTAACTCTTGGTGTCTGATAGCTACATAACACTAGCTGTTGACCATCTAAGTTACAGGGAGCAGTCACAGCTCTGTCCTGTATTTACATCAAAGAACTGAGACCAGAATCACTGAAGCTGCTGCAGCTGGAAACAACACCTGGACTGTGAGGACATAACCAACATTTTAGTGTTTATTTTGTAAATATATAAATCTATCTAAATATATATGGAATAATCACCGTATCTGATGCAGGCACAGGTGGATATTAACGACAGCTGATGATAGCTGCTAACTTAGCTCAACTGCTCATATGAAGTTATTTCCCAACGCTAACTTACGTGTTAGCACAGAGCTAACCGTAAGCTAACCTTAGCTCTGAGGTCCAAAATGTAATACACCGTTTTTCAGCAAGATACTTACTATTCTGGATTCATTGTTGACTCGATGTATGACCTGTCTCCTCTCGTGAAATGTCTCTTTTTATCAAATGAACAGCGCTGTTTGGTTGTTGAAAATGCGTTAGCTTACTCTGCTCCCCAAACCGCGGCCGGCTACTTGTTTCTCAGTAAAAACCCAAAATGGCTGCAGCTCCGACCAGGAAACAGCTAACATTAGCCAGACGGTTTAGCCGAGTCAGGAGTAACGGAGGGACGGTGTCTAAAAACAGACGGTGGACCGTCTCTACAACCGTAGACCTAATGGGAATAAACAGAGTAGATGTGTCTAACCGGGCCGGTTGTCTCTGAGTGTGTCGGTGTGTCGTTAACGTTACTGCAGCAGCGACCTGTCAGCCCTCACAGAGATTACGTCATTTAGTGAAACGTGGCACACAGGACTCACACACTGCCCCGTGTACACAAGTACACATTACACACAAGTTCCGGTCTAATACTTCAACATAAACCTCGCCCTCATGGACTTTGTACTATGTGCATATGCCGTACAGCGAGGCTTTTATTTACAAAGACATGAGTACTATTTCCGGTCATATCCCAGTTACATCTGATCAAGTTTGACACACTAATTTATCTTCCGGTAACACTGGACATTGCTGCTGGAGTATATTTCTCACAGTATTTATCAGTGTAAATACTAAACAACATTAGAAATGACCAGTATACTGTAATAGTATCATACACGTCTCCCGTTAATCCAGAAACTTCTGTCCTGAGGTCAGGAGTGTGTCATGTTGTGTCATTACTTAAGAAACAGGTGTGACCTGGTAGCTCATGTCAGCACCTGCACACAGGTACGCTACAAAGAACATGAGCCATCGGACAAAAAGCTGCTGCATATTTTCCACTGACTCATGTAAGGAATCAATGTGTCATGGTTTGTTTTTTGCAAATTAAATTTTTTCATTCCTCATTTGGCAAGGACAGTTGGACAGACAGGAAAAAGCGACGTGCAAAAAAGTCAAAATAAAAGCTAAGAGGACATTAAAGTGTAATATCAAGCATGCACAAGATCCATACCAGGGTAATGTTAGAAGAAATATAATAATATAAATGAATGCATACAGAGGCTACATAATTAAAGATCTTTAATTTTTCTTTTTTTTTTTGTTCTTTTAATGTAGACATGAAATAGCTCTTATCCAAAAAGAATGGGATGTGATGTATTATTTAGTTGCGTAGCGTGAATTAATTAACCAATATATGGAAATAGCCTGTATGGTCTTTCATACACAGTGTTGTCTAAAGTGACCAGCAGAGGTCGCCCCCTGAACAGACTGTTGTTTCACAGCTTCAGGAGAACAGCGGTCAGACTGAACTGTCAGGAACTTTTCCTGCTTTTATCTGTCAATAGTAACTTAAATGTTGGTAATCTGAAATATTCATATGCATTATATTTCCATCCCTCACACAAAGTAATTTCATCATTTTGTTGTCGTTTGTTACATTATGCAGTTACTTCAGTTAGCCTAGCTAACAATCGCTAGCATGCAGTTACTGTACCTTACATGTTATGATTGCTATTGATAATGGTAGTGTGACATGAGTGTGTTTTATGTGCTGCAGTGTCACAGTGTGTTCAATACACATTCACATTAAGTGTTTACTTGTTTGGGTTTGTTTACAGTACCTACCCTTTTACTGTAAATATTAACTAGCTACTTAGCTAATAATCAAAGTACCTCCAAGTAATAATGGCATGTATTAGCCCATCTGAAGCCTATAGGTTAGATGGCAGCTGTTAATGGTTGTAGATATATCCATGTCTTCTCTGTATCTGAATGTATAAAAAGATGTTATCAGTGTAGTTTACTTAACTAACAGTGTTATGTTACTGTACTCATAAGTATGCACTTGTAAGTATGACCATGTCTGCAATACATTTTTGTAACTAATGTTATTGTTTTTACTTCCATGTTGTATTTAAGTGATCACTAAAGAACAAGTAGGCCATGGGGGATAGATAGTTTTTAGGGTTTTTTTTGTCCTTCTGGAGGAGACAACAGACCAGCCCCAAGGCAGCAGAAGTGGCCTGACCTCTATCAGATTTACTGCTGTAAATCACTTTTAGTGGTGCCTTTATTTATGCAATGAAGTAATGCTTATTTGTTGTTGTCTTCTACAGGATGAGTCTGGAGGAATTCAGTCAGCCACTGCTGGAGCTACAGCTTCATTCTGGTTGTTGATGAGCTGAACATAAACCAGTGCAAACACACTGAATTTCCACTTCCTCTTCCACTTCCTCCTGGAAGGCCTGAGCAGGTGGAACCAGGATCGGGGGACTGTGGTGATGACCAGCCGTCGTCTCTCCTCACCTCCGGGGATATGGCTCACTGTGAACAACAACAGCCTGAGGATTGGTGATTGGGAGGCTACCGCCACCGTGCCACAACCCAGTCTCTCCTCTGCACTTGATTCAGGATCTCCTGATGAGTCTTGGATTTGTACCTTATTAATTATGTGTAAGGAAAAAATAAAATCACTGCCTCTGCGTTTTTTCCCACTTCACTGTCCTCAAATTTTGTTGCTCATCTCTGTTTCTTTTTTCAGACTTTGGATGACTCTGGCATCCCAGGTGTGGACAAAATTGACAGCTTGGCAGGGTATCTGAGCTGAGGGAACAGCCGTGTCATCAACCGGCAGGTTAGGAACTTTAGTTGTCCTGCTACTTTCCCTCTGTGCCCTGTCATACATTTTCACACTTGCACATGTGTTTGTCTTCTCATGTGTTGTTGTGTTCTCTCTCTGCTCAGGTTGCTCTGTGACAGAACCTGCTGGACTATGACAGGTAGAGGGTGTTGCGAAGATGCAGATGTTCACTCCATGAGTAAAGTGTGTGAAGAGGCATGCACTCAACACCATTGACCCGTTTGATGCGTCCCCAGCAGCAGGTCTGCCCTGCTCCACCCTCAGGCCGAGGCCCTCAGCTGGGGATTCTGGCTCCAGTCGTTCTAGCTCCAGTTATAAAACTTACAAAGTACTGCACAGCACGTTTAAAAAATGCAGGCAGTTGGAGACAGTGGAGACTGGACAGAGCCAGTACAAGGGCTTTGTATACTGCCCCTCTGTAGAGGCCAACTTTGTCACATTTTCAGATACTTCCATTAACATATTAGTGAGTAAGGCCTGTAATCTGTTGAGGATTATTTACTCTATCACTAAAACATGAATTTATACTGTCTCCAAGCTGACTTGCGTAAGTGTTGTGCCAAATTTGATTCTGCGCCAGAATTCGACTCCCTCTTGCATTTAGTGGGGCAAGGGTGCTGCATAGGTCCATAGCCAGGTTTTTGCGGTCGACCAGCTCAAATCTGAAAAGTGATGGGTCAAAGGGGAAATCATATGTGGTAACTGTAAGGATTAGGACCTTGTGGTCCTTTTCTTTCCATCTTATCCTCTGCTGTTTTCCCCTCCATGTATTTGTTTGTCCCCAGTTTGTTCTCTGTGTCTGTATTTGTGTATGTCAGATGGGTATAGCTTCCTGGTTCCTCCTGCAATCCTATTCCCAATCCCTGTGCTCCAGATCCTTACATCTACAACCCTGCCGCCTGCTACGCTCAGCCCAGCCTTGTCTCACCTGCTTAGATTTCTGCCTGTTCGCCCTGCTCACTGGATTCTTGTCTGCTTGCCTCACCTGTCTGTCCAGCTCTAGTGGATTCCTGGCCGTGAGCCCAACCTCTGCCATCATCTGCCATACTATCTACAGTCTTTCGCCGCCATCACCAGCCCTATTCCCCACAATCTCCATCATTTATAACAAAAGACTAATAAGAGACCAAACTAAAACCTCACAGAAGCACTACTGTAGCATTATCTTTCAAACATGAACCTTGAGTCTAAGACTGATTTTACATAATACCATATGCAGTATTTAGGACACATTAAGCAGTTTCACTGCCTTGTGCGGTAGTTTGAACAGGAGAATAATGTATAATGCACTGTACAACTGTACTGTACTAGTAGTGTAACGCTGACTTCTTGGTCAGTAGTGTTCTCCAGTCTCTCTGGGCTGTGGGCGACAAGCAGACTACAGTTTTCTTTTAGCTGTCTTCTATAATCACCAGCTCACCTGCTCTCTCATCAGAACATGTACATCCCAAAGACTGTCACACCTGTCCCCCTGCAAACAATGGCAGGTGGGAACCAAAAGTGCTTCACACTAAAGCGGGTTGTAAATAAGCAACTTAAATATTACACCTACAAAATTGTATATAAAATAATAAAGTGCTGCAACTGATATGACATTATATAATAGAATCAATGCAGTAATGCATTAATTATTATTATAATAAACTCAAATAAATGTACAATAACTAAGGTTACAGTAGCTTCACTTAATGCCAGATTGATTTATTGTCTTGTCATAAACGTTGCTGGGTTGTGTGCGCAGGCATTTTCTGTCATTCATGGAGGAGTAAAGAAACCAGAAAATATTCATATGTAAGAAGCGAGAATTAGAGAATTCATTTTTTTTACCTTAAAAATTAATCAAACCCATTATTCTATTATCTAATTTCCAGCTGAGGTCCTCAACTTCCATAACTGGCCATAGTAGTATGAAACCAAAGATAGATTTTTTTTTAAAAATGATTAAGTTATTACAAGGCTGCATGTCTTATATGGCACACCAAAAGTTACTGAGAAATGTCCCCATCACACAGCTGGCAGTTCTAGTCTCACAAACCAGTAAATACAAAAAATGAAATTCTTTACATGCCCGCTGGTGCTGCCCCCATGGTATCAATATAAGCCTTTCCGGTTTGATTAAAAGCCTTTCACCACTGATATGCAAAGAAACAATGTTAATAGTTGCCCAATCTGTCTGGCAGTGCAGGCGAGTAACATAAGCATTATCATCAACACAGGCAACTGATAAATAAAACCTAATTCAGTAAGTAGTACAGTTTGATGCTGTGTTTTTAAAATAAATAAGAGAGAATTTGTTATTGAATTTTTGAATTGTACAAAATTAACACTTCTCTCTCTCCACCCACCCCAACTGTCTCTTTCTCTTGAAATGAACACAACTACTGGAAAGATGGGAAGAGGGACTCTTATTTTAAATGGCACAACCCTCTATGTGGACTTCATGGAACAGGAAGCAGATGTGCCCACCATGACTGAAAAAGACAACTGGTACGGGTTAGGGTTAGTATCAGTACCCCGAGCTGGTGTAGAACAGCAAATGTCCCTCACAGACTACCAAGCTCTATGACTATTTATAACTGACTTTTCTTCCCATTGTTTACAAATGGCTGAATCGCAGGGTTCTGGATGTCATTTGCATGACTACTCTTGTCTCTTGGAAACCAAATATCAATCAACAAAGCACAAGAAAAATTGTAGCTGTTACAGAGAGCTCGTACA